GGTTTCCTCAAGCAAAGAAAAACAATACAGATTTCTTTACCCACATTACGCTAATGATAAAGAGATTACCAAATAGACAAAGGAGGAGTATATGAATCAGAGGTTCAGTGAAGGCAGCAAGGAGTGTTACATTTCTTTATTTCTCCATCTATAAGTAAACACATTTGAATTTGTTTGTAATAGTATTGAATATTTTTTTAAATCACTTTTTTTTGTAGTATATATTGGCAATTGATAATGTTTTTGATGAAAAGCAATTATGTCCTCTTTTTATGCTTCTGCATCATAAACTCAATTTGGCAATGAAGAAGTCTTGTGGGCAGTAAGTGTATTCCTGTAATACATTATTTTATGCAATTAAGTTATTAACTATGTGATGTTAATGATAGGGCTATGAGGATTGGCCAACAAGTCCAGTTGGGCAAGGCCCCACATCAAGGATCCTACATGGATAACACTAAAGATAATTAATATGTGTCATTGTAATTTTAATCATAGAGCTTTCTTTGAATTTAATTTTGACAATGTAGTGTTATTCTATAGAACCGCCGTCAACCCCTTACTAACTTATGTGGCTTTTATGTGTCGAGACATGTGTATAACATTATAATAGCTAGCTTGATTGAGTTTACTGAAGAGATAAATCTAATTTTAGTCATCTGATATATCATTTGTTTGCTTGGAATTGCTAAGTTAAATTCTTTATCCTTGATTTTTTTTTCAGATGTTCAGTGATTCGTCTCCATTTCCACAATCAAAAATCCAAGAAATTAGAAGATATTAAGGACTATTTATGTTAGAGCTTCACAACAATAATTCATTGAATGAGTGAGTTTAGGATAGGTGTAGTTGAATTAGGAAAATTTATTGAACTTATTTAGATATTGAATATTAAATGAAATTGCAAATGTTTAAATTAATTTGATTGAATTGGATTGTATTTTGACTGGCTGGATGTATATATTGCTTTTAATTTACAAGTTTGCAGCCTATTATGGTTGGATTAAGTGTAAAAACCAAATGATTTTTTTAATAAAAAAAAGTTTCTAAACCGGTTATAACCATCATCGATTTAAATATCATCAATATCTAAACTAATTATTCCTAGAACTGGTTTAGATATGAATAAAATCTAAATTGGTTGTGGTCATAATCGTTTTAGATGTTAATGATATATAAATTGTTTATGATGTCATTTATTCTTTAAATGTTAAGAAATTTAAAATCATTTTATTTAACTTTTATCTAAACCAATTTTACAATCAATTTAAAATGTGATTTATCTAAACCGGTTGTATAACTAATTTAAATATCCATCAAATATCTAAACAGGTATTATCTAAACTAATTGTAAACTCAATTTAAATGATTAATTTTAATCGGTTTAGATAAGGATTTTTACACCGTGAATAAAGTCAAAAGAATATACACGAATATGGTAGATAATTGTAAACAAATTAAAAGGAGCCACTAAATTTGAGAATTTAAATATCCTAATAACGTCACAAATACTAAACCACTAAATTCTAAATAAATAAATAATTTATCATTTAACTGTAAGAAATCAAATAAATTAAATAATTAAATAGGAATAGAAACATTTACTAATTAAAAACAATTAAGTTTATATTTCACAAATCCAAAAGAATAATTTTTATGAGGCCTTTGCAAAACAAATAACATATATGAATACACAGTCCGGTAACTAACTAGATGCAATCAAAGCCACAAAATGGATGTGGACAAATAGCCTAAGAGAGTAACCAACCAGATGCGATCAAAGCCATAAAATGAATGTAAGTATGAGACCCACGAATAACAGATGTGAGCATATCGCTTACAAAAATTAAACTAGCTAATCATTAATCATAGCACGCAATGAATTAAAAAAAACTGTCATTAGCAACCAGTGTTCTGCATGTTGTCCTCTTTAAAATACCAAACATTCAAACATACATGGAAAATTCATAACTAACATTTCACCACTTTTTTTAACTATGGATTCCATGCATGAATTATTAGATAAAAATTCATTTAAACTTGCATAAATTCTTAATTGATCCAACGTAACGTAATTTAACAAATCAAAATAATTTATTTTACTAAAATCCAAATAAAGAAACATCCAAATCCAAGGATAGTTATAATCTACCAACAATATATCATAAATTGGAAATAACAATTTCTTTTTAAAGGAAATTTCTGTGAGTGAGTTAATTTGGAACTTTATCTGCTTACCTAAAGTGTTCCCAAAATTCAAAGTTTCCCTCTTACCACTTTAATCAAATTTTTCTTCCTCCAAACACCCTATAAAATTATAATAAAGTTTTAATAAACTTCCTACAATATTCCATAAAACTCTCTTCCCACATTAGCACAGCCAATATATAATTATAGTAAATTTGAAGCTTTAAAACCCATATTTCCAAAAACGTTTCTCTATAGCTAATTACTTGATTAAAGTGCAATCCCTTCTCAAGCTTTGCAAAAACGTTTCTCTATAGCTAATTACTTGATTAAAGTGCAATCCCTTCTCAAGCTTTTGGTCAATGACCAAAAGTGCACCATTTCTAACCCACTCAATAGAGCTTTGTTCAATAGTTTCTTAATAAGCATTCACTCCCAAGAATTCAAATAGCTACATACGAATTTCATAATTAAATTTCTTTTGCTATCTTCCAAATTAAACACACTTTTCACAAGAATAAATTAAATTTCAATAAAAAGAAAAATCAAATAATACTCTTTTTAACAAACATTCTGTCAAACACCTATCATGTATCAATTCTTAAATTCAAACCAAACTTCTTCCTCATTAATTTCATTTTCCAAAAATTTTTACAATAAAAATATTTGAATCAATCAATCTCCCAAACTCCATTTCTTTAATAGATAAATCAATTTAACTCAAAAAAAAAAAAACAAAACCCAAACATCATCATTGGGCATAGCCAACAACTGAACAAGGGAAGAGAATAAAAAATTATAGTAACCCTAACATGAACACAAAGATCATTCAATATAGAAAATGAGAGAAATTTGAAGTGCTTCACCTTGGATCACCATGGCAGGAAGCAAGGAAGAAGGGGATAAAACACACAACTAAACAGGGGAATGGAAAACTAAGCACTACTAGCAAAAAAGGAAAGAAAATAGAATCAATAGCACCAGACCAAGCTCACGACCGGCACCACCAACTCCAGCGGCTTGATTTATCACACCCTTCAACGACGCAAACGTGAATGATGAGGATAGAGCAACAAACAAGGAAAATGAACGAAGACGGGGAGCACGACGGAGAACATGGGCATTGCAAAGCAGCGACATGTCTCCACTTTCTTCGGTGACCATCGAAAACAGGAGGGAAGAGACAAAGGTGCAGAAAAATGGAGGAGTGGCTGAAATTAGAGCTTCTCTCTCTACACAGATTTGGAAAAATCGAATAGGAGGAGGAAATATTTTTAGATTTGAAGGAGGGCATAATGGTAATTTTGGAGAAGCTGAGGCAAAAATAAAAATTTTCCATTCTTGGCCTCCTTAAGGTTCAAACTTAGCACCTATTAGATAAATGGCAACATAATATCTACCAGGCCAGCTCTTCTTCTTATTAAATTTGTTCTAAAATTAATGAAAACACACTTAAAATACAACATTATATATTTTGATTTTTACTTAAAATTCCCGGGTTATCACATTTGTGGATCTTGTCAAGTTTTACATACATTACTAAAATTCACTTAAATCGACTTTGTATAAACGATTCTTCTTTTGATATGATAACAAAAGCAATTAAATTTGATGTTAGACATCGATATATTAAATTATAATTAATAATATGATAATAAAAATAAATATTTATTTAACAAAAAAATATAAAAATAAGTATTATTTTTCCCGCTTCATCTTTTGACCTACCAAGTAACAACTGCGCACCAAGTGAAAGAGATTTAGATTAATTAGTGTTACTTTAATGATTTGAAAATGGAACGAGTAATTAAACATGCACCCGAAAATTGAGGGGAGAGAAGGATATTGTTAACAAGTAATGGTCCGAGACGTTTTCATAATAAGACTTATTTAACTAATGTTATTAATATTACCCAAAAAAAAACTAGTGTTATTAATATAACTTATTTATATTGACTAGTAATGGTCAAGATGTTACCTCAGTGCACGAGATGTTTCTTCATGGTCAATATATGAGCTGGCAAATAATTATATAATATTTCATAGTATCTTACATCAATATTAGAACAGAAAACCAGTAAATACATTATAAAATACTACGTACCTACTTTTGTCATTAAAAAAAAAACTACCTACTAGAACATTGCCAAATATATTATTATTCCTGCTGTCGTCAATATAATGTGAACACAAACATGACTTGGTCGTAGACATTCGGTTACATGTGAGGACTGATGAGGGCTACTGTTGACAATATTAATTTAAATGAAAGATTCCCATAATATATTTTTGTTAGGTTTGACAACCTACATGATTAATTTTGAAGATGCGTCAAATACGGGGGCGAAGAATTTGCATGATTTTGGTCTTTTATATATTTACTGGAATTATTAATTTAAAAATGGAGTTGAACTCAAAAGATCAAAGTCTTGGGGCTGATCTCAAAATTGGACAAATATTTAAACTATATGAACCAATTATTTAATTTCCCCTATAGTCAATGCACCATGTTCCCCCCAAAAGAAAAACAGAAAAAAAATACCATTTGGTGTATGTATAATAAAACGACCGATACCATTTACTAAAAGAAAGAGCATTGGCCCAGCAAAAGATGAATAAAATAAAAAATAATTTATAAAAATTTTATAAAAATAAAATTGATAGCAAGATTCCAAGAGGAAGAACAAGGCTTTTTGAAACTAGTGCTCATTTTATTTTTTTAGAATTTGGGAAGAAGCGAAAGTCGAATGCAACTTCCGAAAAGGAAATGGTTTAATTGTTTTCTATATAATGCCTCTTACAACTCTTTCTTCCCCATCTAGCCTTTCTAGTTCGTACTCATCTCCGGTTCTTTAAGGCTTGGTTTTGGGAAATTCCAATCTGATTCTGCTATTTCTTTGGTAAGGATCTGATTTTGACATTTTGTGTAATTTACTCCTCCTTTGTTTGGTTCTTCTTCTTCGGATTGATCTTTTCTTCACGTCATGGTTTTATTTTCTTGGGATTCTTGTTTGGTCTGATCCAATTTCCATAAGCATGACCAATATTTCTCATTTACACCATTTCAATTCAATTTTAAGAGTTTTTTTTATTTGAAAAGTATATTAATTTGACATGTAAGGGGAGATTGAAAATAAATACCTAAATTCAAATAACATTTCGTTTGTGGCTTTGGTTACGAGATTCCTACTTTCATGAATTAAGAGCTTTCTTGTTCCTAATTTACAAGTGCAATTAAGTTATTGTTTGGATAAATATTCATTTACTCCCCTGATCCTATTTATATAATAGAGAGATATTGGTTGTTTTGATGTAATTTATAGGGCATCCAATGATATTATTCTTTTATCTCTATTAAATGTTGGGAAGATTATTAAATGCTAGAGTATTTAACTCCTAAAGTGTGTATATACAATATGGGTACAGTTAAAAATTTACTAAATTTTTAGGTAGAGTTAATAAATTTTAAGGTTTTTCTTTCTAATAAAAATATTAAAAATGATTTATAAATAGGATGAGGGATTATAACAAAGAAAATTGAGTTGAATTCATTACTTTAGGTGATCAGTAAGCCGTGCATACAGTTTAGTGCAGAGAGTGCATGTATGAAGATGCACAAGTGGGGTCTAATTCACAAGGAGAATTTAGGGAAGAGAAGATTCTGATGAATTCAATTTAAAAAAATGCATAATTAAGAAGATTTGTAAAAATTTAATAAAGAGAAATTTTTAATAAATAGAGTAAGGAAAATTGGTGTGTTTAGACAAAATAGTCCCTTCATTAAAAAATGTAAGGCATTTTTTAAAAAATTAGATATTAAAAAATGTAAGGTATTTTTAATCTTTCAAGGTGTAATCATTATCTTTTTTTTTAAATACCCCTATTGATAATAACTTTATATTTATTGTAGGGTATTTAATAGAGATAAATATAAAAAAATATGATTCGTTGAAAAGTAGGTAACTACTTTATTGGGGGTGAGATTCGGTTAAAAATACTTTATATTTTTTAATGAAGGGAGTAAAGATTTGAATTTTGATCAAATCCCTTATTTGGATACATATAAATTAATAAATTTGGATTTGAATAAAATTTAAATCAATTTCTTATTATATTTTTTGTAATTTTAAATTCTTTCTACACCCTTATTATTTAAAATTCCTATCACTTGAAACCCCTTGTTTTTTTTATATTTTTATTATTAATAACTCTATGATTTTCACATCTTTTATTATATCTCATTCTCGTCTCTCATAAATTAAAAAATAGTGCTAAATTCATTACTTTCAATTTTTTATTTTTGTTTTGAATATCATAACTCATCATTTTGTTTTCATTTGACATTTTTTAAATTATCTAAACAAAAAATTTTAAATACATTAATTTTAAATATAATATTTGAAATGTAAAATTTTAAATCTCAAATTTAAATCCAAATCTACCGATTGAAGTGCTACCTAAATTTATTAGAATCTATCAAAATCCAGCTCTCTTTTTTTTTTAAATCGAATTTATTAGAATCTTCCCTCCCCACCCTTCAAACCAAATTAGCACACCCTTAGGCTTGATTCATACTTAGGTCTATCATTTTTTTAGCCAGTACTTAGGTCTATCTCCACGATCGTGAGTCCAATATCTTGAGCCCATTTTTCAAAATAAACTTGAATTTGTGATGGATCACGGATGTTTACTGAAAATTATGTGATACAGTAAAAGCAAATTGGATGTGGTGTGTGCACATCTCATCAACCAGTGAGATTTGGACAACGGTCCGTCGGTCTTGTTTTTATATTTTTTTAATGATATTTTATCAATTCCTTTATTGTAAATGATAAAGAATACTCCCTTTATTTACACTTTTTAAGTAAATTTTAAATCTAAAATCTAAATTTCAATTCACTAATCCAACTGCTACCTTAATAAATAATTAAAATTAATAAGATTTTCTTATTCATTTGTGATTAAATTATCCAACTAAATAAGGATAGGCATATATAAAGACTGTGTGAATTTTAATGATATTGACTATATTCTCATAAGTAAAAGTTAGTTAAAAATGCTTTATAATTTTGAAAAAAGAGAGTATTAAGCATGTTTAGTTTATGTTTTAAAATTTAAAAAATTATTTGAATAAGTGTTTTGAATTTAATTATTTTCAAAAATATTCTATCTTCTGTATTTAAAAACAAAAAAATAAATTTATTAAATCCATTTTTATTTTATTTTTTTTCTTTTTAAAATATATTACATTTAATTATTGAAAATTACATTCACCTTGATCAATCATTATTATAAGCTATTACCATTGACCATCAAGCATCATCACTATTGGTCGATTTTTTTAATTCTAAAATTATTTTTCAAACAAAGTTTTTTTGTTTTGTTTTAAAAAATAATTTTAAAAATTATACTATAAAACAGTTTTTTAAAATAAAAAATAGGAACAAAATCAAAGGCTTGGTCATCTGTGAAATCTTGTGTTCTGGAATTGTAAGCAAATACTCCCTCCCTTTAAAAATATAAGATATTTTTTGAGAAATTAGATGTTTAAAAATATAAGGCATTTTTAGTCTTTTGAGGTGTAATCATTGCTTTTTTTAAAAAATGCCCATATTAATAATAATTTTATATTTATTGTAGGGTGTTTAATAAAGATAAATATAAAAAGAGATAGTTAGTTGAAAAGTAGGTAGATGCTTTATTGAGGAGTGAGATTTGATTAAAAATGTCTTACATTTTTTAACAAAAGGAGTATATATATAGAGTACACACTGAAATTCCTAATATTTGTAATATGATATACTCCCTCTAATCATTAAATTTTTATCATAATTTTTTTTACTTCTCATTAAATGGTAGTGGCAGAAAATACGTTATTAAAACCCTTATATTTAATAGAGACAAAGAGTAAACCTTAATATATTTTAAAGCCAAATTAATAGGTTTTAATATTTTTCTTGATCTTATAAAATATGTTAAAAATTATTTATAAATAGATCCATTAGAGTAATGCATTGCAAAATTACACATGATGCAGATTTGTCCACGTATGCATTATATTACAAATCCCCAAAATGTCGATATTGGCAGAGAAAAAACAGTCAGCTGAGTTGGAACAAAACTCATCCATAGACTTCGATCCTTTTGTGGGACTGCACCGTCAACAACCCAACTTACCTGCTGGCTCTTCTCATTCCCAGGACCCTGCAAGATCAGGTCACTCAGTACACTGTTGCTCTTCTTTTTCCTCGTAACCTTGGATCAATAGCTTTGGAAGGAAAAACAGCTTTAGCCACTTGATTAAACATACATTCTAAACTCTTTATATTCTTAATTTTCTTTCTAACTACTAGATGCTTGATTTCTTTATCTAATACTCTGTCTGTTATATTTTCTTCTTCTTTTTTTTATGCTTCTTCTTGCCCAAGCTTTCACTTTTTGAGTTTCAGTTGCCTCAGATTCATAATCTTTACTTTTTTTTTCTCTAAATTTTTTTCTTGTTTAAATGTCTTGCTTTCTTTTTCCTTCATCTTTCATTCCCCACCACCACCCCCTTTTTTTCTGTTCCTTTTCTTTTATCCTTCGACGACAGGGAAAGTTCCTATTTTGATGGTTGATGTGGCTTGAATATATAAATTAGTTGATACTCAAAAAAAAAAAATCATACTATATATTGCATTTTAAAAAAGAAAGAAGAAAAATATTCAATCTTGTTTAGAAATCTCATAACCAGTCAGGAAAGCATTCCTCCCCCCCCCCCGGCTCAATTTGTTAGATAGATGCAATAATTAATAGGCATATTTTTAAAATTTAAGTAATTTAATTACCAAAATAAAACTGAAGATGCTTCAAATGGAGCTTTGTCTCTTAAAATTCCATCAAGTTTCTTTTTTCCCTCCTGCTAGTAGTTATTAACGATCAATTATAAGCATGTATTAATATTCTCAACCTCAAGATGGATATAACAATAGTATAACATCACCTTTTTAAGAAGTTGATAATTTTTTCAGATTAAATTAAGTCCTATCTTATATGTGTGTATGTATGGACGTATTAATTGCCCTATGCTTATCTTTTAAATGCATCACACACATGTATGTATGTGTGTGCGCGCGCGCGCGCGCGCGTGCGTGCGCGCATGCATATGCGTACAAGTGTCTGATTATATACGAACACCGCCCTAATGATTTGAGAAATTATAACACAATAGATCTCGCAAAAAAGGAGACGGGTAGAAACCATGTGATGGAATATGGATGAGGACATGAGGTTGAATTACTTTTATTCAGAATTATTTTACTGGTATTGTTTGAATATCCATTACATTATTTAGGGTTCATTAGATTTGATTTGGTATCTGTGATTTATTTTTATCTTCAAGTATTATCTCAAATAAAATAAAATATCTGGAGTAATTAAATACCTTATCATCATCTTTTATATTATAATTTAATTTAAATTTAGATCTATTATTATCTTATTATTTTTAAGGCTCTATAAATAACCCTAGAATTTCTCATTAGTATTCAGTTTTGAGTATTGAATAATAAGTTTTGAAAGTTTTGCCTTCCTCCTTCTTTATTTCTCTTCTTCCTCTCCCGTTCTTGTTTTACATCACCTTGGCCATGCCATTTTAATAAATATTAGGTATATTATTTTCAAAGGAAAAATTTAAAGATGGTCACACCAACAAATAAAGTTTGTGTAGCAGTCCTCATTAAATTAATAATGACTCATTAAAAATACATATGCACATTATGTGACATGCTATTTTATAGACCATATGTATTTTTGTTGTGAGTCCTATATCAAAAAACCTTACAAAAAATGTAAGTTTATAAGTTTGAAGTTTTCTTATACTCAACATGCTAGTCTATTAGAATGGGTGTTTTTTTTTTTTTTTGAACTTATGCTCAGTAACATTATACTAGTACTTTCACTAAGAGGCCAATGTTTGTGGAGAGTCACCCACAACCGGTTTTGACCGAGAGAAGGCTAAGAGAAGTGTTGTGACAGAATTGTATGACCAATAAACTTGAGCTCCATGTTTCTTATGGGTTGTTCCCCATTCTTAATACTCTCTCACCGAGCAGACTAGCTTTTTGGATGAGCTCTTTTTTAAGATTTAAGCTCGTAACAATTTTTCGTCTTGTGCATTATATGAAGCTAGAAAAATGTGCCCTGGACTTGCTTTAATAACTTTATTCAGCAATACGCATTGATGCTTGTATAAATGCTGCGGATTACAGGCGACGAAATTGGATGGAAGGAAGATTTGAACGATGCTCTATGTGGTAACAATTGGAGAGGTGTGAAAACAATCCTAGATCAAAACCCTAATGCTTTAACTGCAAAAATTGCAGCTTCAGGGAGAACAGCACTTCATGTGGCTGCAATGTTTGGGCATGTCAACATAGTTGAGGAGTTGCTAAAATTGGTGCCTCCAGAATCCCTTGGAACTGGTGATTCTCATGGCAATACGGCACTTGCATTGGCTACAATCACTGGAAGCATTCAAGTTGCAAAATGCCTCATAGAAAAGAACAGAGACGTTGTTGGCATTCCAAACGCACGTGATAATCTTCCTGTTATAAGGGCTTTTCATTTTGCTTTCCTAGCAATGGGACGTTATCTTTATTCTAAAACTCCATCGGAATACCTCACAGGTCGTCGGGGTTCCAGGTTTCTGTTTTCTTGTTTACGTGCACAATGTTTTGGTACGTTTTTCATCTCTCTCTCCATGTTTGTACCGTTTTTGTCAATGCATGCAAGGTGTGACTATTATATATATTGCGTATATATGTGTAGATATTGCTCTGGATTTGCTTAAACAATGCCCAGAATTGCTTTTTGTGCCTACCGATGACGAACTTTCGGGTAAGGAGTGGATGCCAATTCATGGGATCGCAACCTTGAACGCTGCTATTCTCAGCCCGAGTGAACTTGTGTTCTGGAGACGATGGATCTATAACTGTCAGTATCACTGTACTTGACTATATATTTCAAATGTTGTCTTTCTTTATCATTATCGTTTGTAGATTTTGCCCCCCCCCCCGGGCCTCAGATTCTAGTATATTGCAGCACATATTAGGACAGTGAGAGGGTCGTTGATTTTATACCTATTATATATGAAGCGTTATTTTAGTTAAAACTTAAACGTGACAAATTTGTGAATAATTTACGTTTTCTTGCTAAAAATACCCTTGATGCATTCTCTCTCTTTTTCTATCTTGTAATCAACGTGGGAGCGTCTCCATTAAACAAAGCTGGGGCAACTACTAGGGGTTATTTTTATTAAAAAAAAACAATACAGGCAGTAGTTAATAAAGATTAGGGTCATATAAAAAGAAATAAATTAAAGGGAAAATTACATTTAAGTTCCCTATAATATAATTAAATATTATATAACAACCAAAAATAATAGTTACTCCCTCCATTTAAAAATATAAGGTATTTTTTAAAATATTGGATGTTCAAAAATGTAAAGTATTTTTAGTTTTTTAAGGTGTACTCATTACCTTTTTTTCAAAAGTGTCCTTATTAAATAAATTATTTTATATTTATTTTAAGATCAAACACCCTATTAAATAGAAGAAAGTACAAAAAGATAGGATTAATTTAAAAATAAGTAATTACTTTATTAAAGGGTGAGGTTCGGTTAAAAATGCTTTACATTTTTTAACGGAAGAAGTATTCATTTTGGCTAACTGCAATATAAAACTATATAGATTTTTACATCCTTATTTTATAGCTCATTTATTATTTATATATTATTTTAATTGGGGAAATTAATTAACTTTCATCCATTTAAGATATCAGTGTACATCCAAACCCAGCTATTGTTTGCGTGGACATCCAGCAAGAAGATAGAACTCAGAGAGCAAAAGCAAAATTTAATAAGCCACGTTTGTATATATGTTACAGAAATAGAGGTCAAAGCCTTTTGGCCCGGGTATACAGAATATATATATATATATATATAATATTTTTTTAATAAATTAGCTTAATTGGTTTCACCCAATCCTTTTGCAACCTAGGATTAATATTTTACAGATTAATTTAAAACAACTTTTTTAGTTCTTCAATAGGTTGACAAAAAAAAGCTCTTCAATAGAATACTTCTATTTGAACATTTGTCCAGAGGAAGAAATACACAAGATTTGGTTTTAATGTAAAAACTTGAGATAATGACAACTAAGGACCGCTTCTATAAAATTAATATCAATGAAATCAGGATTTTTTTTTTTTAAGATTATCAATGCTAGCTGAAACATAGAAGGATATATTAATTTTCTTATGATGTCTTTAATTGTCGTTCTCCTTAAAACTTCTCATGCATGTTGCAACAGGTCATGGTTTACTACAAAGATTAATCACCTTCCCCAATAATTTTATAGGTATCTATTCTTACTTTCACATCTCTTCAACGAATTGGATACTTTTTAAAGCTCGCTTTTAATTCTCATAACAAAAAGATGCATGTGCGTTATGTATCAATCTGGAAGGAGTTAAGAAAATACAAGAGCTCAAATTATTGCATGCACAAGCGGATGAACTTCTTGAACTAGTTTGTAAGAAAGCAAGGAAAGCATACGAGAAGAGAGTTTTGGAGGAGGCTTTATGTCTTGCAGCTAAAGAAGGGAACGTTAAGTTCGTGTTTCGAGTGTCTAAAATAATCCCAGAAATTATGGTCACTCGAACATTGACTTCGTGTTTCAGCCACGCTCTTAATTATCGACAAGCTAGGGTTTTTAATCTTATCCATGGGCATCGCTTCAAGCGTGCCTTGTTAGCATATGTAGATGAAGGAAATACCTTTCTACATAAGGCAGCTACACAGGCTCCTGATCACGTTCTTAGTCGCATCTATGCACCAACGTTGCAAATGCAGAGAGAATTGCAATGGTTCAAGGCAAGTAAAGAAACATGCATTAATTTTTGAGTTTTAATATTTTATAAGATCGAATCTATTATTAATAAGTACTCCCCCCATCCCTTATTATAAGATACTTTTAGGAAAAAAATTGATAACATTTAATATAAGGTATTTAGTGGGGTATTAATTTAACCACCTTTTTTAGTTCCAAGGAGATGATTAGAGATGCCTTATAGGGAAAAAGGGAGTACCTCATAAAGTAATGGATCAATTACAGTTTTGAAGCAAAGTTCCACCTTCTTTGTTGACCTTTTTCTCTCAATTCTAAGTGTCATGTACGGGCCAAACCATAGTCCTCTCCACTGCTGAACTGGCTATGGTATTTTTGATGAGAATGTGAAAATACTTAATGCTTCTTGAAATAAATGCAGGAAGTGCAGAATTTAATGCCTCCAATTTTTTGGGAATTTCGGAACAAGGATGGCATAACAGCAGAAGAATTATTTAGAGAAAGTCACAAAGAATTGATGAAGGAAGGAGAGAAATGGATAAAGAGCACGGCATCTTCATGTTTTGTTGTCGGTGCCCTAATCGTGACCATTATGTTTGCTGCAGCATTTACTGTGCCAGGTGGAAATGATCAAACTTTTGGATACCCGTTATTTATCGCACAGCCATTTTTCAAGGTTTTCATATTCTCAACTATTTTGTCGCTCTTCTCTTCTTCAACTTCGGTTCTAATGTTTCTAGCAATTCTCACCTCTCAATACTCAGAAGAAAAATTCCTGAAATCCTTACCTACGAAATTGATTGTGGGCCTTTGTTTTCTTTTCATCTCCATCGCAAGCATGATGATAGCCTTTCTTTCCACCGTTCGTCTCATACTGGACCGTGCAAGCTACTCATGGGGTCTCCTTCCCATTATTATATTTGCAAGTGTTCCGATCTTCCTCTTTGTGCTGTCACAATTCCCTCTTCTTCTTCATACTGCTATTACTACGTACGGGGTTATCTTTGACGAGAAAGTGGAGATGTGGCCATAAGACGATTCTCGTAATTGATGTCTTGCTACCCTCTTGATCCTATTCATAGACAGTAGTATTGGGCATGATTTTTCATACAGGACACTTCTCTTAATAGAGATTTAAACCTTAATTTATTATATTATGAAGACCAACTCCTTTTACTATAGACTCAACCGATGTTGGTGGGAGGATGTGAGTTTAATATTTTTCATAGGATGACTCTCCATTTATTGGACTGAATCCTTTATTGGGCCATATTTAGTTAGGGCACTGGTCTTTTTTTGGACCCAAACAACTATGTTTTTTATAAAAACTTCATATTAATTGTTGTCACTATGGTCTATGGCTTGTGTGATCCAAAATGCTCAAAGTCGAGTGGTATGTGTATTTCATGTTGAAAGAATTATTTTGAGGTCCCTCACACTATAATTAAACCCCCTAAGGTTCATTAACAACTTAGCAGAGGGAATTGTCAATAGATCTTACAATTTAAACTTAATAGAGGAAATTGTCAATAGATCTTACAATAGTTGTGTGGGACTTTTGTGTAATTTTCACTTTCATATTTTTGTTCGCACCTTATTTTAATGCAATATGTTTATAATTTCATTTTTTTGTGCAATTAATTTATAGTGACTTTAACTCTTACTAACATGCTTGTTATTTTTTCCCGAGGTACAAGTTAGTAAAGTATTTTTTAAAGTTGTTTTTAAATATATACACATGCTGAATTTCCCAAAAATTATTAAACATTAATGCTTTGCAAAATAATCTATAATGCAGATTGATCAATGCATCATACAAATCTCTCGTGCTTGTATTAAATGGGGGCAATTTTTAGAAGAATTGAAAATTACTCCCTCGATTAAAAAATGTAAGGCATTTTTAACTGAATTTCACTCTCAGTAAAGTAGTTACCTACTTTCAAACTAACCCTATTTTTTCATATTTATCCCTATTATACACTTTATAATAAATATAAAATCTTTATTAATAGGGGTATTTTTAAAAAAAAAAGCCAATGATTATATCTCGAAAAACTAAAAATGCCTTACATTTTTTAACATTCAACTTCTCAAAAAATGCCTTATATTTTTTAATAGAGGAGTATTATTTAAATACAATATGTTTAACTTTAAGATTAAGTTAAATAAAATGATTAACTAATTATATCCTCACTTCTATATTCAATATTTAAGTTTTAGTATTGCATTGACTAAGACTTCAATGTTGACTGTTAGAAAATTTAATAAAAACGACAAAAATGCTTTATTTTAATTATTTCAACAATAAAATTGCTTGAATTAGTAGTTTAAGTTGTTGGGTTCTTCTTAGAGAATATTTCAGAGGCAAAAACACACATTTACTCTTCTAATTAAAACTATTTGCTTGTCAATAGGCTTTCTAAGAAAGCTAAATTCTTTCTAAAGAAATTTAACTTGTAGCATAGCAAAGTATAAAGTATATCAAGAGTTTCACAGGAAGGGCTGGGACTTTTTGAATATATGTAATACACGAATCATTTCATATTATAAATACGAACATTTTAAATTTCTTAATATAAAGTTATGGAATTAAAATATTAATAAAATATTAACCATCCATTTTTTTTCTTTTGATAGTAGCTAGAACCATCAAACTTTAATCTATACAATGTAAATTACATGCAATTTACCTTGCAAGGAGATGTATGGAAATTATATATATTTTCACCGTTTACCATATATCACTGAGAAAGCAAAAGGCTATCCCAAAAAGTTTAAAGATTTAACAAAAGCATAAATAATCGAAACATATCATCAACAGATATATAAGAAGAAAATTAAAGCCATTCTCATGAAATATGAACTATTGAAAAAGAAATTAAAGGTCGATGATTCGTTGGAAACTAACACAAGGAAGCATATGTTCAACTTATGCATTTGTGGGGGCCAAAGCAAAGTAAAGGAACGAACATTGAGTACATTGCATGAATTTGTTTTTCCTTTTCCTTTTAAAGCTCAATGACCATAACTATTTAACATCCCCTGTTTTATGATGTCTTTGTTATTCAAAATCTCCGTGTGGTCATCATAGCTTGTGCGATCCAAGGCTCAAGGCTCAACTAGTAAGTGCATGCATGCATGCATCTCATCCATTATGATTATGAGTTCTAACACACACAAACACTAAATTCCGTAATATTAGTAAACACATTTGACATAGTAGTATAATGCAGGTTGATCATCAGTGCAGCATCATAAAGGTTTTTCGTACGCATTATTATATCCCAAAATGTCCACATTTCCAGGTGACTTGACACCAAACTCACCAATCGACTTTGATCCTTACGTGGATCTGCACCGTCCTCATACACTCGGTGGCTCTTCCCGTTGCCACGGTCGTGCAGATGACAGACTAAAACCCGACTTAGAACAATCCTCATCAAGGCCACGCAGGGAACAACAGTCCAGTGACTTGGTACAAAAGCTCTTTTCTAGTGTCATACTGTTACCATTAGTTGTCAATTTTCATATGCATACTTATTAGAACAATATTTTTACTAGTTGAAATTCAAAAGAATTAATTTTTTAATATTTAATTATTAAATTGTCCAAGTGTGAGTAGATTTAGGTTCATGTAAAAAATCTCACATCAAATAAAATTGAGTTTAATAATTAAAATATAATAAAAAAATGACGTATAAACTCAAGTTTTGAGATTTTGAGTAAAGATAGTGTTTTTCTACTACTTTTGTCAATTTGTCCTCTCCCCTGATTTCTAGGCGGTCACTCTCCATTCTTAACATTGATCATATGTGTGGATTACTACAGGGGAGGCTTTGAACGAGGCTATATGTGGTAACAACTGGAGTAGGCCAAAAGCAATCCTGGATCAAAACCCTAGTGCTTTGATAGCAAAAATTGCTGATTTTGACCTCGCAGCACTTCATGTGGCTGCAATGTTTGAGCATGTCACCATAGTGGAGGAGTTGCTCAAATTACTGCCTCAAGAATTCCTTCTAACTCGTGAAATCACTCAACTTGCAAAAAGCCTTGTAAAAAAGAATAGTCTCAAACTTGCCATTCCACAAAGAGATGATGATCTTCCTGTTACGATGGCTTTTCATTGTGGTCACTATGAAATGGGACGATATCTTTATTCTGTCACTCCATTGGAATCCCATATAGGCTGTCGAAGTTCTAGGCTTCTTCGTTCTCGTTTACATGCTCAATGTTTTGGTACCTTACCTAATTTTTATAGAAAAAACATAACTTTAAATCCCTATATTTTGCTTAAATTTTATTATAAATTCCTTCACTTTATTTTCAATGTTCTAAGTCCCTATAAATTTTTCCGTCTATACCTTAAGTTTCCATAATATTACTCATAGAAGGACCTAAAACACAAAAAAAAATGTATAGGGACATAGAAAATAAAAAAAAAAGTGTAGAAACCTATAATAAAACTCAAACAAAGTGAAGGGATTTAAAGTTATGATTTTTGATTTTTATATATTACTTGTTTTCCCATTCATGCAGTGACTATATATATATATATATATATATTGTACGAGCGTGCGTAGATATCGTTCTGCATTTGCTTCAACGACGCGAAGAACTGCTTTTTGTTCATTCCGATTCGTCAAGGAACTGGATGCCAATTTATGGAATCGCTACCTTAAACTCTTTTATTATCAGCCCACGTGACCTTGTGTTCTGGAAACGATGGATCTACAACTGTCAGTATTACTGTACTTAGTATGTGCGTGCGTGCGTGCGTGTGTGTGTGTATATATAAGAGGGAAAATCACACAGAAATCCCACATAAAAATTTTAATCACCAGAAAGTCCCACAAAATGCAGGTAAAAATAACTATGAAATCCCATAGGTTTTAATTGAAAAAAAAAATTGAAATGCATTTATCAAAATGTCCTTAATTAAAAAATTAAAAAAAAAAATCTTTTCCAGAATTGTCAGTGCTTGTCACCATCGGTGGGCGACCGGCAATGGTGGCGCTAGTGACCGGCAATCATGGGAAGAGTTTTTAAATTTTTCTAAATAAGAGCATTTTGGTAAATCAACTCCAAAACTTATTTAGAACTATATTTTTATTATTGTCGTTGTCGTCGTTTTATTATTTATTAGTAGTAGTATTTTTTTAACAAGATGATCTTTATTTTCGTTGTTTCTTTGACCATGGAAGGTATAAAGATACCTTCAACTACGGCTATCAATCATGTTTGTACAGAAATCCAACACGAAAATAGAAGTCAAAGAGAAGAAGAAAATCTTACTGAGTCAGGTATGTTACAAAAATATTGTTTTACGAAAAGGATTAATATATAACCCTTTGTCCTCAATATCTTAGGGAAGGTAATTTCCGTTATATGATGGTAAAACCTACTCCTTATACTTACCAAAAAACTTTGTCGACATTGAAACATGTAATTTTTGCATTGTTTTTAAGTAAAAATTAATATCTTATAGTTGCATCGAGGCATGTGACAATTTCATGTTATTTACGATTGATCTAAATCATGATCGGAAATTTTACTCAACAAGTGAGACTCTTCCCTTTAATTAACAGTATGTTATCTCTTCATTAAGTGAAAGAGTGAAAGAGGTACTCACATTTAATATTCAAATATGTCTTGAACAAGATTATCTTTAATAGGAGAATACATTTATGCAATATATTAAAAATTGTTTGAATAAAAGATTTGATCTTAATTAAAACTTTTCTTGCAAGTTGCAACAGGGCATGGTTTACTACAAAAGCTCATCACCTCCGCTGGTAATTTTATAGGTATGTTTGCTATCCTACACCTCTCTACCTATTCAAGCTTATAAATTAATCTAATAAAAAGATGCATGCATGCATGTGTATGTGTTACTTATGATCTGGGAATTAAGAAGTTACAAGAGCTCAAGTTGCTGCATGCACAAGCGGATGACCTTATTTGCCTAGTTTTCATGAAAGCAAAAAAAAGCATGTGAAAATGGAGTTTTAAAAGAGGCTCTATGTCAGGCAGCTAAAGAAGGGAATATTAACTTCGTTTTTCAAATATCAAGAGCAATCCCATAGATTCTCCTCAACCCAATAGTGACTGAGTGTTTCCAAGATGCTGATAAGTTTCGGCAAGCTAGGGTTTTCAACCTTATCCATGGGCTTCGTTTCAAGAGTGTCCTGGTAATGTCAGGACTTGATGATGAAGGAAATATCTTGCTACATATGGTAGCTACGAAGGCTCCAGATCACGTTCTTAATCGCATCTACGCACCAACACTACAAATGCAAAGAGAACTGCAATTGTTCAAGGTTAGGAAAAAGCCGTGCATTTATTTGTGTCATAATATTTCATAAGATCGAATCTATTATTAATTACAGTTTGTCTACGTGCAAGCATCTCACAACGTATACCGGCACATCGATTTGTTCTAGATTCTAGAATGGGAAAATACTTCGATTGCATTTTACTTTTAGTCACTATATATAGTTTTATTCTGTTCTCATTTTCTTTAGTTTGATTTGTTTCCAGTATTATCCTTAATTATAGTTTTAAAAATACACATAAGAAATTTACACCAACAAAATTAGTGTTGCTTATATACATGTACATAACTATATTAAACTCTTTGCTGATGTGAGTTTAATTTAAGCCAAATATAAAAGAAAATTTTCCCCTTTTATATTTTATCTTTAACCATACCTAGTCAATTTATTTCCATGCATGTTGACATATGTTCACCATGTCAATAAAATGATTGGCAGTTACAACAAAATAACTGTGTTAGTGGCAACTCATGATCTTTATGTGCATTTTCAAAAATACAAAAACTAATTTTGTAGACTAATCAAACCATTAAAAGACTTGGAATAATGAAATAAAACTATAGAGACTAAAAATAAAATGCAATCGAAACATATGGATCTATTGTTGGAATTATTCAATGGCATTACAAAGAAAGTAAATCTCATGAGGCCACTTCCTTTTTGACCTCCTTCCCCCCCCCCCAAAATTCCTAAGTGTTATGGGCCAAACCATTGTCCACATCACCCTTGAACTAGCTACAATACTAGTCTGGTTTTTATAAGAATGTGAAACACACAACACTGTTTGAAATAAATGCAGGAGGTGGAGACTATCATAACTCCAGTTTTTAGGGGACTTCGAAACAAGCATGGCATGACAGCCGAAGAATTATTCAGAGAAAGTCATAAGGATTTGATGAAAACAGGAGGGAAATGGATAAAGGCTACAGCATCTTCTTGTTCGGTTGTCGGAGCACTAATTGTGACCATTATGTTTGCTGCAGCTTTGACTGTGCCAGGAGGAAATGACCAAAATTTTGGACACCCATGATTCGTCAGACAACCATTTTTCAAGCTTTTCATATTCTCAACCATATTATCACTCTTGTCTTCATCAACTTCGGTTCTAATGTTTCTTGCAATCCTTACCTCTCAGTACTCTGAAGAAAAATTCCTCAAATCCTTGCCTACGAAATTGATTTTGGGTCTTTCTTTTCTCTTCATCTCAATTTTAAGCATGATGATCGCCTTTCTTTCTACCATTCGTCTCATGCTCAAGCACACAAACTACTCATGGGGTCTCCTTCTCATTATTATACTTGCAAGTGTTCCAGTCTTCCTCTTTGTTCTTTCTCAATTCCCTCTTCTCCTTCACGCTGCTGGTACTACCTATGGGAGTGTCTTCAACAGGAAAGTGAAGCCATGGCCATGAAATGTATTTGTAATTGATATCCCAGTTTGACTTTTTGAAAAAATGTGATGTTTCCCTGTCAGCTACATTGATGTGATAATTAAGGAATAAAGTAATTATTATTACTATATATCCTTGTAAGATCAGATTCAAATTATTTGCAGAAATACAGTGGCTTCTACTGTTTATATATATATATATATATATTTGTATTTGAAAAGCAGCTTGTCTTAGTCTCCCAGCTCTTGCGAGAATTGCAACTAACTAATACACTATTTTAGTCAAGATTCTGTTAAGATGCAGCTAATTAATATAGAGCACAGGATCAACCTTTCTATTTGAGGAGTGACTGTTATGAATCCCATGTCGAGGAATCTCATAATAAAAGTAAAATTTAAATACTCAAATATCAATGGCTCTTCTACCTAACATATTGACTAGTCTTTCAAAATGGATTGTACTAAACATAACATTAGATAATTTCAATTTTAAACTCTTTTTACATGTGGTGAGGATTGTGGTCCCTTTAAGAGTAGGAAGATTGTAAAATTTTAATATGGAGTATATGGACGTACAAATCAATATGATATAATTATTGTAAAATGACATATTACACATGGTCACAATCTCATTTCCACAGATCATTCTTTATTTGAAATTTAAATTGTTAAAAAAAATTACAATTAGAAATTTGGCTTCTTAAAACAACACATGATCGATCATATCACATCTTGATCACAACTTTGACACAGTCTGGATATCTCATTATCTCAAATGCTTTGCTTATATCTTCCAAGTGGACCTCATGGGTAAAAAGTTCATGAATTGGAATTTCCTGTAATAAGAAAATCAGTCTATTAATAGTCATATATTTAACAAATAAAGAATCACTTTGTGCATCTGAATGTCGATACTGTAGAAACTTTTCAATCGGCATAACTCATTTAGAAAGTTTTCTGATTAAAGAACAAAAGCTGTCCCCAAGAAGATGTCACGTAATCCTGAAAAAAAAAAAAAATACCACTTTGACAAGTCCAGGCCAGTGGTTTTTTTTTTTTAGTACAGTCAGTGATTATTTTTGAGAATATATTACACTGATCATTTCTCAGATCTATTTTCAAAACAAACATAATTTTTTCATGAATTATTTGTCAAACTTGTGCAATCATATGCACCCTCTCTTTTTTGAAAAACTTAACCAAATATTTTTAAGATAAATATTAAATCACATAAAATATCCAAGTTTGCTGAAATTACATAGATATTCTTTCGTTTTCAAAATATATGCAGTGCGCCCTTCAAAATAGATATATAAGAAGTTTGTATAATTTCCGGAAAAACTTACGGGACGTCTTTATAATTTATTCTTTATTTTCAAAATAAGTTTGTATAAGTTTAAAAAATAGAAATGAGAGTGTATATTAGTAAAACTCAAGAAAATTTTGTATATAATTTATCGTTTAGTTTTAAGAGATGTCTATGTAACTTTTAATTCCTGGCTAGGTTAGTATAATTAATTTTTTTAAAAAAATATCCATGTACCTTTTTGGAAATAAAAAATAATCCATATAATATCTACAAAATTAAACGAAAAAAGAAATTTATTTATTATTCACTCTATATTTTAGTCACCATATCAACCTTAAATACAGAGAATTTATCCAGAATTTATTTTTGATATACTAACCCTTGTGTGACACTTGTGAGCTATAAAAGGAAGATCAGAAACGGGTTTGATGCCTCCAAATACAGAACCCTTCAATGATCTTCCATACATAAAGATACGATAATTTAGCTGCACAGATTCAGCTCCTGTACCTACTACCACTGTCTTGCCCACTCCCTGTAAATATTTTTAATATATGAACTCATTATAAAAAACTAAATTATTAGTTAATTATGCAATTATATAGTCCTATATTTAATTTTATTTAACTGAAAAAAATGGAGGATGATGAAATTAATTTGTACACCACTTTAGTGGATTCCACGGCTTGATTGAGCAAAGAAGGAGCTCCAGTGCACTCAATGGAATAATCCACACCCATTCCACCACTTAGTTCTTTGACTGCTTGTGAAACAGTTTGATCTGACAATAACTTGTCAGGATTTATAAACTCTGTCATCCCAAAAGCTTCTCCTTTTTCTCTCTTGTTCTCATTTTTGTCAATCCCAATTATCTTTGTTGCTCCCATCAATTTCGGTCCACTTACAGTCTGCATGTATTATTATTACTTGCTCATATCCTTTATCAAGAGAGTATATGCTACGAATTTATAGCGTCAATTCACTGAAACTTCATTATCAACTGTAAAGGTGTCATACTTTTTCTTATAAATTCATCATCTCTCTGCGAGTACTAATTTTCCATATACTTACAAATTTCACCCTATCTGAAGAATATATTGGGCTTCAAATCCCATGTTGAAGAGTAAAAATATTTGTCTAAGTGAGGAGATATATATATATATATGTTTGAATTGTTTGGTTATAACCTACAATATTATAAATGTTCTTATGTCAGAAAGTGAGAACAATGGGAGGTTGAATAGCATGGATTTGATATCTCTTAAATGAGGCCATAGGTTCAAATTAACCCTTGCTAATAAAAGACAATTAAATTGTAAATATCAAACATTTAGTTGTAAATTTTGAATTTTTCAGCTACAAAAGGTCATTGATATTTTTCAAAGATCCTTAATTGTCATTCTCCCTAAAAAATTCAGTTAGTATAAAGCTACCTTGTAAAAGAAGTACTCATCTAATACTACATACCAAATAAATTTTGGGAGAATGACAATTAGGTCTCAAAATTTGAATTAATGACAATTAATCTTAACAAATTTAAAAAAAATGAGTTACAAATATTAATTCAGATAGTTACAAACAAAAATTATGGATACAATTTGAGAGTTAAATTTGAAATTTAAATGTTTTATCTATAATTGAAACTTATGAATTTGCACTTGTTTAAATCAATATTTGCAACTCATTTTTTTAAAAAATTTATCAATGACCTAACCGTTATTAATAATTAAAAGTTTTGAGACCTAACTACAATTCTCTCATAAATTTTTACTCATCAAAAAACTTATCTAGTACCAATAGATCAAAGAGATCAGGAAGGGAGGAAAGAGAGTAGAGAGAGATGCATACCCCTAACCCAACAGCACCAAGACCAAAAACAGCAACACTAGATCCTTGTTCAACCGTGGCTTCTTTCCAAGCAGCTCCAAAACCAGTTGAGAAGCCACAAGAGATGAAGCTGCCATGAGCAGCATCAATGGTTGTTGGGTCCACTTTGAGAACATAGTTAGCATCAACCACCATGTACTCACACCATGTGGCACAACTCATAAGATGATATGCCTTGTGACCTCTCACAGACATTCTAGAAGTACTGTCTGGCATCAACCCAGTCAACCTTATAGGGTATGTCCTCCACAGGTTGGTCTTCCCTTTTATGCATTCCTCACAGTCTTGGCACTCTCCTAAGTACAACGGAATCACCACATCCCCTGCCTTTACGTTCTTCCCTTCCTCCCCAATGCACTCCACAACACTGCATTCAATTAATCCATCATCATTATCATTATAAAGTTACAAGTAGAATTGAACCCGCAACCTGCTACTTACAGGGGAGCTAATGTGCCACAAAGCTATAAAGTTACTGGCAAAATGTAATATTTCATTCACGTTATTAATTATTCTGTTAAATATTATTATGTCACATCATCCATGGTACTAATAGTGAAACAATATGATGTCATTTTGAACTTTAGGTTTATGTGGCATTGTGACATTAGATGAATGAAACAAATATTAATATAATTCGTATAAATCCTACCCTAGGATATTTTTTGAAAATTATATATTAGCTCAATTCTAAAAGTATGTAAATTACATTAAGAGCAAGACTTGGCCAAAATATTCTGAAGGATTATGATTTGAATATGATAAATTTAATCTTACCAAATATCTAGTTAATTTTTTTTATACATATGACATAATTAAATGAATATATAAATGTTTTGGTCAAATCAGATCTAACTGCAACTTTTTTTTATTCCAAAGAAAGTTAGACTAACGAAATTCTTATCTAATACAATAAAACTATATTTTTAACAAATAAATAAAATCTCCCATCTGATATTAGTATTTTTTTTATTAGGAGAGTAATTTATACATTAAATTAAGATACATAATTTTAACCCATTGAACTTCATTTTTTTAATGGCCCTTTGAACAAAATTGAAGCTCATCCTTATCAGAAAAGTCAAGCCTGCCGCCCTTTTCACGTGCAAGATTCGCCCCTTGCATACATTTGCGTGTGTGTATTGGGAAAGAAAAGAATAGTGCGACCCATGATGACACGCCAAATCATGTTGTTTGTCATTATTCTTACCTAAATTGACAAGGAAACATTTTCTGAGGATATTATTTTAAAAATAAAGAGAGAGAGAGGTGAAATTAATTAATTTCATAGAAGAGATGAAATTTAACAGGAAAATAGTGTGTGTGTGTGTGTGTGAGAGAGAGAGAGAGAGAGAGAGAGAGAGAGCAGGAAGCTGCATATATAATTACCTGCAAACAATCAAATTTAACTTAAAATTAATAACCAGCAGTTCATAGAGCTTACCCAATGCCTTCCTGGCCTAGTACTTGAGGATAATTAGCCTGTGCACCAATATTTAATTGAAGAGACCCGCATTATTAGTGAAAATAATAAAGGCATAATGTATGATTAACTTTGGCCACATCAAACTCAAACTCAAACTCAAAATGATATATATATATATATATATATAATTTTAATAATATCAAATTACCAGAATTTCTTAAATTTTAGTAAAATTATGTAGACTTCAAATCAAATTTAAAGATCTATACCACCTTTTTGCCACATCTCATCTTTTATACTTTAACCAATTTGAAGTTTTGAAACTCTTAAATTAGGACACGCTTCTCGAGTTACCATTCCCTTAAATTAAAAGTAAGCTCTAAATAGATGGGAAAAAATCTGCATAGTTTTAAAAATGGGAAATGACATTTAAGGACATTTTAGGAATATTACTTACAATTAAAGACCTTAAAATCATAAAATTTCAGGAAAAAAAACCATAGTCTTTAGTTGAGATTTAAATTTTTCTGATTAAATTTTTTTCAATACTCAGCTATATTATCTTTCACATTTTTAGCACTCACTTTTTTTATTTTTTGTCAATAGTCACCTTAAATATTTTCAATACTTGTCTTTCTGGGTTTCAGACTTTCAATACAGAAAAGAATTAAAATAAGTGTTTCTCAATACTAAAAATATAAAAGATGAGTACTGAAAAAATTCAAAAAAAAAAACACAACTGGAAAACTGAATACTAAAAATGATAAAGATACATGTGTACGAAAAATATGGAAGATGAGTATTGAAAATATTAACTCAGAAAAAAATTATTTAATTTCAATTAAGGACTATGATCCTTTTTGGAAATTTCAAAATTTTAGGATCCTTATATGAAAATAAAATTCTTAATAGGGTTTAAGAACGGTATCAGGTTACTAACATGTAGGAATCCCATAGTGGCGAAGAGGTCTGTGTGGCAAACACTTGCACAAAGCACCTTAACACGAATTTCAGAAGCCCTAGGAGGGTCTAGTTGTATGTCCTCTACCTTCACTCCCTCTCCTATTCCCCAACATACTGCACCTACAAGCCAAAATTTGACAAGAGTAAATTTAATTTGAACGGTCCAACTCAGATGTGTAATTCCATAAACAAAAGTAGATATCATAGGATCCGGATAACAACAAACAATAATAACAAAAAGCTTTCTCTCATTAGGTGAAATTGACTGTATGAACTATACAACGAAATATGTGAATATAAAGTTGATACTTTTGCAGGTTATAACCTTCGATGAGGTACTCATTGGCCGTGTCTCTCTGACGATTTGCTAACCAAAGACGAATGCAGAACTTGACTAATCAGAAGAGAATAGAAGAAGGAGAGAAGGAACTGGTGCCACAATGAAGAAATCCAAATCCTTTATATATATAATTATGAATAACGTTATTTTATATTTATATGTATATATATAATTATTTACTTTTTTTGGATGAAATATATATAATTATTTACAAGTTGGAGTCGGGCTGCTATTTCCATAATTAAATGTAGCTGACTTTGACTTGGCTTCATTTTTCTAACGATGCAATCGTTTTCACATGTCATTCCAAGATGAAGCAAATTTTTAAATATTGTTTTTGGAATGATATATGTAATAGATTATCATCACTAACGCTAATGTCTGTTTCATTTTACTTAAGAAGGTAAAATAATTTAGAGATGTGTTTCTATTGTTTCTAACGCTATAAAATTTCCAAATAAATTTTAATTTAAAAGGAATAATTGTTATGTTTTCGTTTTTTCTCTGAAGGGCGCGGGAAAAAGTAAAATATTGCAGCGTTCTTGACAACGTTCAAAATAGTCATATCAAAGGCTCTTGTAACACGTAGGGATTAAACATGCATGGTTTTCATCATCATTGTTAGTTAGACCTACGCTCAAACAAAATGATAATTCAACAATTATTTAAAATGGATGTTCCACCTGAATTTAAAATTAATCGTCAATAATAACTCATTGACATGATTTTTTCGAATGCATAGACAGACATTGTGCACTTTTTTAAGTTTTATATTTCTTCTAATGAAAATTAAATATCTCCGTGTAATATACGGAAAAAGAAATTATTCCTATTTATAGTTAAACTCAAACTTAATCTAATAGTAGCAGTTTGTCTGATATCGTTGTAAGCTTAAGTTAGCCTAACCATGATTGCCTGATTAATATATTCTAACAAGGTAAAATAGATTGTCGTTATAAAATTTATTAAGTTATTGTTCATTTTATTTTATTGAATTTGTGTATAAATTGTGATATCGATGTATGTACGCAATGAAAAGAACCGGTTATTTAATTGCTGGGAGATCGATCGTAGTTTCACAACGATTTTAAGGCAAATGACTTTCAACATACCCGTTTAACTTCATTAAATTGATCTAATTAATCAGAATTTAATCCATAATTCATAATATTATGAGATCCAATTTTACTGTCAGTGTAAAAACCTTATCAAATTTATAAATATTTTTGTAAAGACTCTTAGAAATATACTTTGACTTGACCCTTAAGCTCTAACATCCAACTCACTTAAATTTTTTTTTATAAAAAAGTTGAATAATAGTAAATATCTTTTTTCTTACATGTCATTCCAAATCATCAGAAACAGAATCAGAAAGCTAGGAATGCAACTTAATCAAGAGGAAACAATAATATATCTTTTCCTGATCTTTGAAGTCATATATATTTTTATAAGAACAATTCTGTTGTACGTAATGACTTGTTGAATCAGCAATTAATTAAAGATGTCCATAATTTTTCAATGATGTAACTTTGACCACCTCGAGCGTATGTCCAAGTCTTTTCGCCCATAAAATACCTTCAGCAGTATTTAAGACTCTTGGTCTTGGATAGCGTGGCATATATATTTAAGTATTATATTTCATAAAAAATAATTGATAAAATTTGTCCTACCAATATATATAATATATCTGTGTGTCTCATGAAGAGACAAGATAAAATGACTGAAAAAGAATTCAAAAATTACAAAAAGTACCGACAAAAACTTTTTAATCATTTTTTATAATTTTTTTTGGATCCTTGAATGTATTTGTTGAATCATTTACTGTAATTATTTATTTTTTTTGTAATTTTTTATGTTCTTTTAAATCATTGCTTAATTAACGTATAGACTAAATTACATTATTTTCAAAAGTTGAATGAAATACACATAAAAAATAAGTTTATATATGGTCATAGATATTCCTAAACCTATAATTTAGGGGTCACTTTATTTGTTTACCCAAAAAATTATCTTCTTCTTATACTTTGTTCTCGTGGTTTTTTCTCTTCCTTATTTTCTTCTCATTCTTGAGGGTTAGTGCAATTCTCCCAATGTTAACTAATCGTTGTTTTGGATTTCTGATTTTCTATGTTATGTAGTGAACTGTTGCAAATTTTATGAATCATTATTGTTGCATAATAATGTTGTTGGACATGTCGAGTACTAGATTTGTTTAAGTTGTTGTTTGGTTGGATTTATGATTTGGACGCTTGGGGTAATTTGGATGAACTTTTGGTTTAGATTTATGTGCACTTGAGCGAAATCGATTCATATCCTTTATTAACAAGGAAAAATAACAAATGGGTGAAAAGAAATTAAATAATATCATATCTTGACTTAAAAACTCAAGATTTGAATTTATGACTCCTTCTACTTTATCATATGTTGGGGATTAAATCTAACTTTATCATATTAACTTAAATTTACTCATGTTTAAACATCATAAAACATCCAAACAAATCCTTAAATATGGGGTGACTATGGGTCCAAATTTATAGAGCTACCTTTAATAAATTTTTTTTCTTTTATACTTACTCCTTCCGTCCTTATATATAAGAAGTCTTCTAAAATTTTTTTATCTTTAAATATAAGGGGTTGTTAGCATATTTTTTAATAAATAGATCATTATATCATTATTAAATTAGAAAGAGAAAAAGATAAGTACTCTTATTAATTTAATTTTAAAAAAATTATTTTTTTTATTTACAATAATTAGGAGAAAATTGAAATGTTACTATGCTTTTTGTTAAATAACTAAATTTTATTAATTTACATAATTTAAGTAAAAATATCTTATATATAAAAATTGAGAAAATAAATCTTAGAAAGATTTGGTCATTATCAAGAACTCGAGAGAATTCAATCTTTGAGAAGCGGACGAAAAAACTGAATGTGATGATTCAAATACAGATTGAAGTTACCATGCGAGGAAGGTCAGCGACAAAATGGATAAATCAAACATATAAATTTTCAATATGCAATTAAAAAATCATTTTAAATTCTTGTCATGTGAACCTGTATCGAAGTTTTTTTTTCTGTTCCTATAATTTATAATATTTTTCATAAACTAATTTATCTGAATTTTAAATTTGTCCTAACAATGTAATTTGTTTTAAAATCATCTATATATAACCTTTAATGGTTTAGAGCTAGTCCTTACATTTTGCAACCATTAAATATTCTCTCTCTATGTGTATGTTTAAATGGGCTGGCACAAATCCTTAAAAGAAGAAAATACTTATGTTATCAATTAAGATTAATTAAGATTTTATTTTTTTTTGGTTACCCATAGGTTTCCTCCTGTAGAGGATTCAAATTTTGAATCCCCGCATTATAAGAAATTAACTCTTTTTACTATACCTATCTAAATCCTATTAGCGATTAAGATTTTACAAGAGGAAAATGGATGTATGGAGATTTCATTTCAGCTTGTTGGAAGCCCAATAATGTTATCCTGTAACATAGCATGAATCCAGCATTCCATATTTTATGGGCCAAGCCTGTAACGTCAAAATAGGCTCAATGGGTTGAACTAGCATGGGCCTTAGGCCCGAGAATGAGACGCGCTCGTGGGTGATTACTTCGTTTGCCAAATTCAATTACTTAAGGTTGAGGTGCCATGTGGAATTACATTTGCCAAATGAAGATGCATGTAGAAGAGTATTCTATATGACAATAACATACAATTTCCTATGCAAAATATATTAAAGAAATTTAATCTTCTGTAATAATGTACTGTTTGTGGAGAAGAGAGTGATTAATTTTTTTTTTATATTAACAATAACACAACTCACAAACCCAAGTACCAAAGCAGGGTTCAAACTGTGGGCCTCACATTGCACGAAGGTGCCGTTGCCACAGAGGCAACTAGCCATTGGCAAGACAGTGATTAATTAAAATAAAAGAGTTTATGAAATTTGTTTATCTCTCTCTCTCACAGTATCATTCATCTTCAAACTGTTTTATAAAAGAGTCAAAATAGTTGCAATGAAATCTAAATGCAAATAATTAAATGAGACAATTCAACTTACCAACCAAAATGTAGCAAGTTATTCTAACTTTATAGGATATTTTTTTAATCGCCATAATTCAAAACCTAACAACCCTTTAAGAATGTGTTGCATACACCCCTACTTGCATAGTGGGAGTGTGTACAGAGGGTTTTTTGATACTTGGCAGATTAAGTAAATCAAGGGATTCTTATAAAGGCCATTACTCACCTCACTTTACAAGCATTTGCTGACTATAATTGGAGACTTGATTTTGATTAGACTTGCACTAAACCAAACAGAAAATCAATTGATGGATTTTGTAGTTTCTTGGGTATAATCCCATAATTACCTATACCTCTAGAAGACAAACAATAGGGACAAGGTTATCAACAAAAGCATCACAGGCTAGCCTATGCTATGGCAGAAGCAATCTGGTTGGAGTCATTGTTAGATGAGATCAATGATGTTATCAATTACTAAATTTACCAGTTGTGTGGTTTGACAAAAGCACTACAAAAAATTGATTTAGTGACAGATAAATCCCTACCTAAATAATATATATCCCTCGCTAAATGAAATTTAGCGAGGAATTTTGTTCCTCATTGATTTCATTGCAAGAAACAACATTGCTAAATTTAGCGGCGACTTCTCGCTAAACATGCTTATATTAAAAAATGCTCATCTAATGCCACATTATTAGTGCCTCATCACCGACCACGTGTTGGTTCGCTGATGTCATATCATTTACTATCTCATACCCCATCACTTGCCACATGTGTGATAACTCATGCCATGTCATATATTTACTATATTTATGCTAATGTCAAGACTTGAATCTTTAATTTCCTGCCTTTCCCAAGCCTTATGTTTTTTTTTCTTTGTCAGTTAAATTGAAATGCATTTACAATCATTATGTAAGAAATTAAATATATGTTATTTAACTACACAAATATATTAAATAATATATTATAAAAATACACTTGTATATTATATTTTATTTTAAATTATTAATATGTTGAAAATATTTATATTTGTATTTATATGACTCTTTATATTATATTTTTTTAATAAAAGTATTATTTTTATAAGGAAAATGAACTTAAAATAAAGCAAACATTAAATATTAAATAATTTTATTATGAATATTTTAGTTAATTTTTAAATTTGATTTTTATTTTTTAAATGAAAATAATTAAGTATATAATTAGTTAAAAGCCATTTTCAAAAGTCAATTTTTTTTATAATAATTAGCCAGGGACATAATTTCCAGCTCAATCCCTTGTTAATTATCTAATTTTAGGGAGGGATAATAGTCTCTCACTATTTTCCTCACTAGTTATTCTATTTTATAGAAGAATTGATAGTCACTCACTATTTTTCTTGTTAATTATTTTATTTTAAAGAGGAATTGGCATTTTCTCAGTATTTTCCTCAATAACTCTCATTAATTTAGTATTTTAAAGAGAAATAGATAATCATTTGCTCAATAATTCACATTCTTCTATTAGTGAACTAGCACTGTGCTATGGTAGCAAATCCTGTGTTGCACTCAAAAATGAAACATATTGAACTTGATTTACATTTTCATACGTGAAAAAGTTGAAGAAGGGATAGCGGCCATGCTCCACAGTGTGGGATGTGTTTGGTTGAAGAAAGGACGCATGTTACTTTACTGTTTTTCTGAGAATTGGAGGAGAGGGGAGAACAGGGGGCTGGTTGTTTTTCTTTGAAAAAGAAGAGGGGATTGATCAACCAGTGATGAGAGGAATGATGAATCGTCCGTGATGAGAGAGAAAGGGAAGAGAAGAACTGGCCAATCATATATCAAAGACACATCATCATTTAAGTGGTAACATTTGTAGATTTAGCTGCTACAAATTTAAAAATTTAAAAAAGCTATTACACACTTTATGAGTTTATAATTTATAATATTATTCACCTAATAATTTAAAAAGTATATTATTCAATAACTTATTTTGTTTTATTATGCACAAGTAATTTTTTATTAAACTGTGCATATATTAAATACATAGATTATATATTTTACATGTTACATGAAATATCTTTATCATTGACTGAAGGAAAGCAAAATTCAGAAAGTTAGGGTAATTATAGGTAAATTAAAAAAATTATAATTAATAATTTAGAGTGAGAAGAAAGTAACAAAACAGGCAACCGGCGGCCAAATATAGCGAAAAGCATATTTTGAAGTCATCATTGCTCATTTTGTGAGAAATGCCATTGGCTAACACAACTTTTATATAATAATAATAAAATAATAATAATAATAACAAACTACTACTACTATTAAGGTTATAGATAAAAAATACTTTGAATCTTTTTTATAGCTTGATATCCTAAATTTTTTTAAAAAATAATATTATTCTTGAATTTTAAAAAATGATTCAATATTGTCCCACAAAACATTGACGGTTAAAAAGTTTCATTTGACCAAAATATTAGTAACATGTGGCCTTCTCTCCGTCCACCCCTCAGACCCTTCGCCAAACTCACTTCTCTGCAAATCCTCAATGTCTCACACAACGCCTTGGACGGAGACTTCTCTGGTGAGATCACACAGCCATCGTGGCTCTAACCCATCATTCATCTGCGACCTCCCACATTTGAAAGTTCAAGTTTGGGAGAACGATTTCTCGTTCATCTTGCCGGAAAAAAAGGGGCACGAACGGGAAATTCAAAATGTTTGACGTCACCAGTAATCATTTCATCGAGATGGTTCCAAAGGATTTGTGTAAAGGAGGAAGGTTAGAGATTTTCATTCTCTTCGCTGTTTCGTCTTCTTTTTAGTGCCATGGATCTTCGCGGAGTACCCCAAGTTGAGGGAGACTTCTAGCTTCCATATCGATTTTGTGATCTTTGGATCCAATTCTGTGTGTGCTGTGTGCATTTGCCTTGACCATGAATGTGGCCAAAATCTCTTGAATTCCAACTTTGAAGCTTTTAATTATTTTTCTCGTTTCTGTAATCTATTTTTTTTGGTTTTGTCTCTCTTTCCGGGACTGTTATCCTAAACTGGCTCATGAGAAAGAAGCTATGGTGGTAGCGCTGCATAAGACATTGGAGCAGGTGAGAGAGAGAGAGAGAGAGAGAGAGCTTCTTATGGTTTCAACAATGGGATAGTCGAAGATGATGCAGGGTCGTGCTATCACGAAGAAGAGAAAAGAAGAGGTATTATTTGTGGAGAAGAGGGTGAATTGGAAGTAGAATAGAGGTATTATACCCCTCTCCATCTCTCTCTCTAACCTCGTTCCATCTTCCTTTCCTCTTTCCAAAGTCGTTTGTGAGATTCTTTCCGATGGTCTTTTGCAGATTTCCAACTGAAATACGCAAATTAAATCTCTTCAATTGTAGTTAACTTGCGGCTATTATGTGAATTTTTTTCTCCCTCTGGGAAGACTATTGAGCAGACTATTTGGGGGGTTTTCTTGCTCCTTCTTTCTTCTTTAAACTATCATTTTGGGTTTGTTTCATAACAGGGTTCAGTACGCAGTATGCTGCAAAAGGATTGAAGAAAACTATTATATTTCCAGAAAATTCCATCTCTATTTTTTTCGCCAATAAAAAAAATATTTCCCCTTTTTTTTTCCCCTGAGTTTCCTCATATTTATTTTTCATTCCTTTGAGAAAATTGGGGAGACAGGGTTAAGCGAGGACCTTGCTATCATTGTAGAGTTATAGGCACACCACTTTGGCGCAATGGGCCACCAAAGAAGCCAGTGCTATGCAATGCCTGTGATGTCGATGGAGAACAAAGGGAACCCTTGCAAACAGCAGCTGTAATTCTGGGAAGGCGTGCTTTTTGTTTCTTCCTTGCAGGCATCTATGTTCACGCATGGTTTTCTTACTCTGTTTCTGAAATCGATTTTGTGGGGGTTTTGGTTTTGCGTTTTGTGAACTGACTTTGTTGTGTGATCGGAGCAGAGAAAGCTAAGAAAGAGGTCATAACAAAAACGCTGCGGGTTTCGGATCTCTTGGTGGAAACCGTTAATGGCAGACAGGCAGAGTAAAAGAGTGCTGTGTCATGGAGAAGAAGAACCGATTGAGGAAGAAGAATGGTTATGGTGGGAGAGAAGGACGAGTTAATACTTTGGTCAAATAGAAATTTTTTTGGCGGTTAACATTTCTTTACGGTTAAGGGCGAGGCAATATTATACCTTTTTTTTTTTTAAGTTATGAAGTAATATTATTCCTGAAAAAAGTTTCAGAATATTTTTATCTTTTATTAATACTGATTCTAATATAATGATATTGATGATTGATTTTTGTGAAAAATTCAATCCAACCATAGAAATTCGTAGGGCAACTAATTTATTTTAGCCGATTATATCTGTATTAAAAATTAAAAATTATTCATGTTGGTAAAAGAATTAAAAAAGTTAGGGCAAAAGACAAAAAATTTCAAAATATGCCACTGATAATTAAAAAAATGTGATAATTATTACGTAATCTTTAAAGACTTCACGAAATAACATATTTGTCTTTAATGACCAATCACCAATTAAAGTAATTATTTTCAAAGAAATCATTTTTTAATTTATTTATAAATCACAAATTTGTGAAAAGAAAGTAGTCACTTTTTATTTTATTTTAATTAATAGTCCGACAGAATAAGTCATTTCTCAATGTTGACAAATTTTTTAAAGAAGAAAAAAAAAATCATTTTCTATTCTGGTTTATTCAACAGTCTAATTAAAATAATCATTTCCTAACACATAATAGTCATCGAGGGCAAACATGTTATTTTATCAAAAATTAAAATATCAAACAAGTGCCTACCTCTTAAAGATTAATGTTTTTAGAATCAAATTAAATATTAAAATAGAAAGGCCAGTGTTTCGTATAACTTAACCGAATTAAATCAATAATCGAACCGGTGATATAATAATTAAATTAAAAAATTATACACACATATATATGTATATATAAAATCTAACTATAAAAAATAAATATAAAATCGTTACTTAACTTAAAAATAAAATTAAACATTCTAAGTTTATTATGATGTAACAAGTCATATAATGTAATATAATATTAAATAATTAAAAAAATTAGTCCTTCTTTAAAAAAATAATAAAAAATAAAATAAAAAAAAAATTGGTACTTTTTAAACAATATGGCTTTTGAAAATCACATCTGATTTCTTGTTTGATCTCAATTTGACCTCAGGTCTAAAGTGGCCCAACCTTTCAAATAGTTTTTTCATGCTAATCAAATCGGAATTTAGACTGGTTGACAATTCAACTATCTGATTCGATTCGATTTTTTAATTATTGCTAGAGATTAAATAATAATTAGGAAAAATTATGAATAAGTCTTATAAAATAGATTTATTTACAAATAAGTTTTTTAAAATTCAAAAACTATAACTAAATCTCTTGAAATTTGAGTGTACTTTGAAAATAGGAATAACAAATAATAACACCTCTATTAAAAATGCAATATATCAATCAAAATTTATAATTATTTTATCAATAATTTATAATTATTATTTTAAATTTTTATAACTGTAATTTCATATATCAAATAATTTAGCTGATCATGCATTATAAATTTAATACTAATTATATTTAACTATCTCATTAATAATTTATAAATATCATTTTAACATTTTATAATTTTAACATTTTCATTAAAAAAACAAATTTGCAACCGCCTTTGGGCCTGTAAAATCAATTCAGATTTTATGAAATCTTAATCATGATTTTCTTGTTTCTGGGGTAATTTAGTGTGATTCTCCCAAAACAAACTAAATAACGCATTACATGAGATGATAAGTTTACTACGGTTATCTTTCACTTATGATTTAACATATTTTCCCAGACTACGGTTGAAAATTGCAATACCGGACATGTACAACGGATAAATACAAACAGCCAAACATATTTCCAGACAAAAATCGCCTGAAATTCAATCCCGAAGCCAAGTTGTGGCGTATGCAGCTTCTCTTCACTTCTCGGAATCAAAAATTCCACCACACAATTTCTAATTCTTCATCGTCGTAGTCATTTTGCCTGTTTCTTTCTCATTTTTATTTGGAATTATTCCTTCTATTTCAAGCCACCATGTGTTTTGGTGGTTGAGGCATTGTATTTGGACAGTACCAACTTTAGCGTTCTGGGTTTTCTATCCGATGAGTCATGTCAATGAAGCTGCGCTTGTCGAACCCTTATTATTAGCAGATGGAAAGTGGTGACGATCCCAAATCAAAGGTATTACTTTTATTGCAACCTCGCTCTGCGATTTCCTTTTCAGTTCTGCCTTTTTCTTTGATTGTCCTAATGAGAAAGTGTACTTTAATTTTGATTTGAGTTACTCCTTTTCCCCTCCATTTTTGTTGCACTGAGAGAAATAGTAGGAGAAGGAAGGTAAAAGAAACCCGTAAAATTAGACAATTATAATGTTTTGATTCTCGAGTTTTTCTAGTTCGCCAATTTTTTTTTTCTTTTGGCTGCTTTCTTTCGAGTAAGGAAGCTCAGAGGTGGACTTGTTGAAAGGAAATTCATCTGGTGGAGTAGAATAATTTAGTTTCAGCAAATAGAAGTTCAGGTAACCTACACTAACGTCATCATTCCTTGTAAATGGAATAATGCAGTTAGGCTTCTGGCACGTTGTTGTAACTTGTAAACCTTAACTAAGTTGGTGAACAAGAAAATGGAGATGTATTGGGAATGCATCGTGTTCCATTTAATTGACTTGTGTACATACAGCTTAGTTAATTTTGGCAGTGGTTCGTGTTGATTTGTGTGGATGCAGCTTAGTTAATTGACTTTTGTTTTCTTCCTTTTGTTGTTGTTGTCGTTGGGGGGTGGGGTGTTCAGAACAATGTCCAACTGCCATTTCCAACTCCCATTTTGTAGTTTGTAACTGCAATACTTTGATAACGTCCTTACTACTGCAATTAGCAAAATATTCTTGATGAACTGAAAACTTTTGTTGCATAAATGTCTAAAGCTACTTATTATAATTCACTGGCTTACCTCCAAGTAAATGTTTGTTTAAGCTTTCATCCTTTATGAGTTTACATAAAAAGAGATCGTCATGGTCACCATTTGAATATTCTCCTTTATTAAGATGATTTTGGACTGTAGAACATCTTATATAACCAAGGCGAAGGGTGTCCTAGTAGCACTAGATTTCTAAAATGGTTTAGGCAAGAAGCGCTCAAAATGTACATGTCTAGTGAAGCATAGGGCTAGGGTAAGAAAAATGTTAGAAGTATGAAGCAAAAGTAGATAATTATAAATTTCAAACAGTGTTTGACATATAAATTATCTATCCAAACACAATAATCATCAAATGCATTAATAAGTCACTTATATCACTATTTAAGCGTAATAATCATATTTCTGTGGATGTGGTTCCTTGGGGTGGCCTCATTTTATTGTTATTTTGCAACAACTAACAACAACAATCATATTTATTGTTGTTTTGCAAAACTTAAAAAATAACTAGCCTGAATAATATTTTAAAATAAGAAAAATTATTTTACCCTATTCTTAAACATCTAAGGCTGGGTAGGACTTCTAAGGTTGGGTCTTATAGTTTCCTATTTTATCCTATAACTGTTTCAAAATTGATGCCCTGGGCTTCTGAGCTGCCACATCCCTTTTAACTTCAAATACATTGAGGTGAATGAGGTGCTCTCCTTGACAGCAGCCAGAAGTGCCAAATGTGCCATCGGCAAGGTGCCTGGTTGAAGCCAGCACCTCCTATGGTGTGAGGATGAGAGGCATTGGGCTTCTCCAGCACCTTGCCTCTGTCACCTTTAAGTACACTGTCTTCGACTGCTTCTTTTATTTTGCCTTATGATATTCTCGTGGTAAATTTTTATTTCTGGAAAAATAGACTGAAATATATTGAGGGAAAAGGTAGTGGATGTACCTTTCATGTTGTTACGATTGCTACTATGATAGCTAAAAATATGGCTTTCTTTCATTGTTTAAAATGTCATCATGTGGAATTCAATGGTTCATACCATATGGAACATAATATTTATTAACTACGATCCAGTCCAGATCCCAGATGGCAGCAGTTTCAATTACTCATGTAAATGTGCCAACGTGGAACTTTTTCTGTCATATATTTTTTAAGACAAAATAACATGGAACATTTTTTTCCAGCAGAGAAGAAATTTGCTGGCCCCTTTTCATCTGCATATCTTTATTCATATCCTGTTTTAATAAATGTGAAAGCTGCTGTCATTTTAAATTCTTCTTTTTTTCACTAATAATATACAACTGTTTCCGAATCCAAAAAAAAAAAATTGAGAAATACAGTTTTTCTCCTTTAAAACATAATAAGTGTAAAATTCTGATTGCTAATTTCTGATTATAAATTTGGAAAGGAAATAGATCTCTTTTTTATCAGTTGTGTCCCTTTACTAGAAAAAGTAAAACTGTTTTTTAGTAGAGACTTACAGCATCCAAGAACACGTATTGTTTCATAATTTATTCTTTTGAAGGGATCTATTTGATGATTAAAGTGATATGTAACTGCTGCTTTTTTCATGTGTCTATTTTCTCATTTCTCCAGTGAATATGAAGATACATTTGATCATGCATAGCTTTTTAAAATGTACATTTGAAGTATGCCTAACTTTTTAAACTGCACAGTTGAAAGCACGAACTTGAGAAGATGTATTGAATCCATGTGTGAAGACTAGTTGAAAGTATAAAGGAGACTAATTTTGCTTCATCCACAGACTATATGTGTTAAAGCAGGTGTTTTGTTGGCTGGACATTGCTTCTTGAAACCCTCTCTCTCTCTCTCTCTCTCTCTCTCTCTCTCACACAGACATTTCTGGGCCTCTGTACTGTGTGTGTGGGTTTTTTTTTTTTTTTTTTTGGGTTAAGTTCTATAGTTCTCCCTAACCATCTGTTGGCCATGTCTGTGATAGTGCATTTAACTTAAGATCAAAGGGATGATTTTCATCCTTATTTCCACTGCTAGTTTGAACAAATAAGTACCAAGATTGATCAATTTGGATTGAGTTTTTAATCATTAGGTTTTTTTTTTTTTGGCTAAAACAAGATAACTGATAGCAAAGAAAGAAGTCAAGAATGATGATCTTATATGAAATTTTAGGATTTAAATTAACTCTTCTCATTGGAAAGGTCAATTTTTCTGGTAAACCAACATGAATATGCAGAATACTGTAAATCAATCATTATACAATATTTGTAGGAAGCTAGTGGCTTATGAATGGTAGTAGGATTTGATAGATATGGTTTGTTTTGAGCTGTGTACTTTATTTGTCTATAATAATTTTTTGAAATATATATTTTTTCGGTTATTGTAATTTGTTACATCAATGAAATCCATGGCTGTGGGATTTCAGAAGTCAAGCATCTAGGAGACATTTGTGCAACACAAGCTAGTGGTCTAAAATACACCTGTGCAATGCGCGGCTCAGCATTCTAGCTAATATATGATGAGCTTAATTACTTTTGAGCAAATCGTCTTTGCATTAGATAATTAACCTTTTTAGATTCATATCATATCTTGACAGCTTGAATTATTATCATCATAAATTATATATTTAGTTGAAATTATCATGTAAAATAATAATTTCCTATCTCAAACTTATTGGTCTTTTGAGGTAGATAGTATTTGTGCCTTGAAGTTAAAATTCCATGTTTCTCATGCCAGTATTGTTTCAAGTGTTTTATTGATGATGAGCTCTTGATGTGGAACTTTACATTGTTTCAAGGATTTTTACAAAGTGTTGGAGGTTGATTATGACGCAACTGATGAAAATATCAAATTCAATTATCGAAGGCTTGCACTGGTTGGTTAGCTATCCTCTATTAGTATCTCCTGGGGTGGTTCTCTCTATGCTTTTTCTTTACGAAATTTCTTTATTCTAGAAGTTTGAGTTCTCACTTATCCTTGATTGTGCTTGGAATGTTGTAGAAATGGCATCCTGACAAGCACGGAGGTGATACTGCTGTTACTGCAAAATTCCAAGAAATCAATGAAGCTTACAGTGGTAACTATAAACTTTTTTATTAACAGTAAAATATTCTGTTCCCTGTGTCCTTGTCAACTGTTCAATTGTATAGGACAAGCAATTGTAAATTCAACAATTGTAGTCCTTCGTTCATGTGGATTTGAAATGTAGACTTTCTCACAGTGGTTTGATGCTCTTGTTTTCCCATTGTGTTGCTATTATTTCTTTCTGATCTCCTTTTGTCCTAAACTAGTTTCAGAAGCGTATAAACCTACGTTTGTTCCCTTAGTAGGAAGTTTAATGTAAGTGAAGGTATTTATGACAGTATGATAAGTTCACTCTAGTTCAACAACTATAATTGACAGAAATCCAAATTAGCACATAAGTTTCATCCTTTACTAATTAAAACCCTGGGTCCTTACCCCTCTTAGAAACCCATAAACCTGCCACACATGAAAACTATTCTAGAATCGAGTTTATCTGTTCAGCCTGTTTTTTGTAGGTCGAAGACCTAATGCCACATTGTTTACTCAAATATCATTCATTAACCCTCTACACAGGTTGGGCCTCTTTGATTTGCAGGCAAATGGAAGATTTGTGGCTGGTGGAAATATGAAGGAGTGCTCTGACCTTAAATCTTCCATTTACCCACAGATTAATGGGAGACCAACACATGTAGATTAATGACAGATATTCTAGTTGAACAAACATGCTATTAGTGTTTTGAACAACAAAAACGTAGCTTAATGGATCCCTTAATATCATATCCAAATTTGGCTTTGGTTTTAGTGTGTTTTGGGCTGAGGGCGGGCTGCATAATCACAGTCTTGCTATTGTTGGCCTGAACTTGGCTAGAGAATCTAAGTTTGATCCTCTTCCATGATTAAAAACTGAAACAGATCTATGTAGCACGGATACTTCAAAAAAGTAAACATATCCGTATCCGATACGTATTCGATACGATACTTGTAGGATACTTCTGCATACGTATCCTATATTCTGACATTTGTGATATGATTTTTTTTTCAATAATTTTTCACTATATCACTTAAAAACTTAAAAAAACACTTAATATTTTAATTAATTACTATAAATATCCTTATATTATTTTAAAAATTCTTGTTTAAAAATCAAAATACCTATACTTATATCATAAAATGTTAAAATATATATTATAAATATCCTCGTACCCGTATCCTAAAATTTTGAAAATTTGCCGCATCCCTGTATCATGCCATATCGTATTGGATACTCGTACCCATATCTATGCAACCTAGAAACAGATCTGCCAGTCATGAAGTAAATTTACTCTGTAGCCATCTATGGTTGGACTTTATTCCTTTCCTTTTCCCTCACATATGGTTCAAAAAATAGCAAGCCAATGTTTCTGAGTAAACTCTCTTGGATTTCTGCTTATTTTAGTTCTCCTTTGACATTTCCTAGTGTTGAGTGATCCTGCCAGACGAATTGAATATGATTTAACTGGAATCTATGAGATTGACAAGTATAGCTTGCAGGTATGGAATATAAATTTCATTCAAAGTAAATTTTTATTTATAATTCTTATGATTATCTGATTGGATTTTAAACACCCCAATGAGCTAACCATTAATAGAAACATCTAATTGCCACACAGGAATATCTTGCTAGATTCAAAGGGATGATACTTACCTGCAATGGACTTGGCATCAATCACACTCAAATATGGTAATTGTTTAAGTGCTAGTGTGGGCCTTGCTGTAATGATAGTGCTCAAACATAACATTTATGTGCTCCATTACAAGTGTGAGAGAATGGTACGCAATATGAAAAGTGGGAACACATTTGTCCTAGTCTTTACTAAAATTTTAGGTTCTTACCTTCCATTGTCTCATTGTGTCCAATTCAATTATTTTAGTATTTCCCTACCAGTTGGGACATGGAAACTGCGACAATACTGGGCTAATGTAATATTGAAGTATTACAAGAGATATTTCAACTGCACAAATAGATTAGAGAGAAAAGTGCGCATGATCGTTCTGCAACTTTTTCTCTTTAGTTGGCAATGACATGAATATTAAAGATTTGTCTTTTAATTCTTGTAAAATTGTGTGAGTTGATTTCTGATTCCAGTAAAATAATGCAGGTCGCATCAATTGACTGAAAGCATTGAATCCCACAATAAATGAGGTTTGGCTTCAACTTTGTCTCGACTTAGAAGTTCCTTGGTTTGAACTCCTGAAATCGATTCTGAAGAGCATATTCACCATACGTGATCTCAGCATAGAGTTCTGAATCAGGATACCTAGAAAATTTGTTCTGATTGCATTATATTGTTTAACGATTGTGTAATGCATCAATATTCGTTTTTGTGTGTCTAATCACTAAAATGTAAGATTAGAGTATTTTACCATGAGGACCTCTAGCTCCTTGTACACATTTTCTTCCATGTATCATCTCCCCTGTAAATTTGTAGGACTGATAGGTTAGTATGCTGCTTTGGTGAATTTATCCATGGGGAGAATCAGAACGTTGTTGAATAAATAAATACATGATGGAGAACCCTACTCCCTCCGCTCTTTTTTAGAATTCATTTCCATTTTCCAACATTTGTATGGGTAAAAGAGAAAATTTGTGATGAAAAGTCAATGACATGTCTCGTAAATAGAATCAAAAAAATTCTCATTTTATCTTATAAAGAAGGCTGAAGGGAGTATATAGCAAGGAAGACACATGGCTTAACCTTTGACACTTGACTTCCACGTCAGGTGTTTTATATATGTAATTAACCTTGCATCTTTTTTCTTTTTTATTTTAATGAAAACATTTATCCTTTTTCCAAAAAATTTAAAAAAAAATGAAAACACACATGGCTTAGAGCTCTCTGGTATGTAAACCTGACAAACAGAATTGTGTATTAGAATCAAGTTTCTTCATTAGGTCATGATTGTACAACTGAAGACTTAGCAATGGTGTCATAATATTTGTCTAGCTAATCTCATTTATTGAGATAAAGCTTGCTATTGTTATTATTTGGGGGAATACTTTAAAGAAACTTAGCAAAGTTATTTAAAAAAAATAGAAATATGATTATATTTTATTTTCTCTGGAACGATTATGATATTGATATCAATATTAATCAATACATTAATACATATCATAAAATTTATAGTAAGTCATTATTGGCAAGTCACGAACGAATCTCATGTTTACACACTGTATGGTGTATTGGGAGATGTGTCTAGAATCTATATTAAGAAATTCGACATTTCTATTTAAGAATTAGGAGGCTTAATGTCTTTTAGATTAAGACATCAAGGTCAAAAAATTTGAAAATGGGATCCTTGTATTTTATTTATTTATTTATTTATTAAACGAAGGGATCCTTGTATTTTAATGTTCAAGAAAACAACGTAAATTCTCATTTTCTGCAACAAAATTGACTTCTATATTCAAATTTTGTGGCTGATTCTAGATGATCCTATATGCCGCCATTTATATATATATATATATATATAGGGAAAGAGAGAATATTTTGTCAAATATTATTATAGTTAGTTTGAATGGGGATCTATCATACATGAGATTCTAGGATTATTAAAAAAAAATCAATAGATGACCTGGAAAAACTTTTTTTTTCACTCATCAACATAAAAAATGTTCAATAATTGAAGATCATATATGTCATGCTCAAGTATTTATATTTGACAGAAATGTTAGTGGTTAGTTGAAGTTGAAATAATTAATAGACGAGTCATGAGGAGAGTAGCCCATGGAATGCATGGTCAGCATTGTATGCTAGGATAAACTAAAAAGGAAAAGTTTATGAATTTATTTAGTTTTATGGAATGAAACCTGAGAAATATTATACAAAAGGAATTAAAGTGCCACTAAACCATTGGCCCAAAAGAAGAGCATCACTGAACTAAACAGAAAATATCATCTAGATTCCAAAACTTTAAATTAATGGCATTCAGGTTCTCAAAAAACAGTTTAATAAATAAGTCGTAAATATCGATTTTATTATATTATTTCTAAAATTTGGTACAAATCTTGCAGTTACTCAAACATAGATTTTTTTCATTTCTGATATTGCTATATCTGCATATATAGTATAAAAAAAATTGCATTAATATACTCAATATTTAATTAAATTATATACCATATTTTGTATTCAAATATTAAAATAAAAATAATACAATTTTTAGTTTCCCAAATTTATTTAATTATTGATTTAGTTACTCAAATTTAATTTTTATTGATTTAGTCATTTAAATTTACTCAATTATCATTGAGTCTTTATTATTTAAAAAGAAAAATCTGCTGACATAAACAACAAAATATTAATAACAATAATATAAATTAATGAAAAAAGGTGTAATTATTTAGATGGGAAAAAAATGGACTCTGAATTTTTTTAAAAGAAAAAAAGGTAACAAAACATAGCCTAGAGGATTATATTAGCAAAAATTAAATTGATTTAAGAGTTAATTTATTCTCATTTAGCTATATATGTATGTTAAGTTATTAATATATTTTTCATATTAGATTATTTTGATAGTTAATTTGTGTTTTAAACCTTAAAGGATTCATATAATAATTTTCAAAAACAAAAGGGATCAAATTGATATACAGTAAACTTGAAATATTAAATCAATAAATATAACAAATTTGAGGAATTGAAAGTTCCATTATCCCATTAAAATATATGATAAACTTATAAAACACCCTCATTTAAATTACTCCCTTAATTTTATTTATAGTGTAAAGAAAGAGTCTTTATTTTGGTCTTATTTATAAAAAATTTAATAATTATTATATTCATCTTTATCATTTGCCTCTATTAAATGTTAGAAAGTTTATTTTATTTTAAAGTATGTATATATAATAAAAGTAAAGTTAAAAACTTGTATAATTTCTAGACAAAATTAGTGAAGTTTAATGTTTTTCTTAATTCCAACAAATATACTGAAAATAATTTATAAATAGAACAATAAAAAAGTATATGTTAAAAAATTATTTATATTTATATAATGTTGCAATTTGCAAAAACAAATACAAATTTGATATTACTAACAAGAGTTGAATTTATGAAAAGATATAATTTCTTACAACATAGTAAATTAATGCTTGAGTCTCTGCTTAAAAAAAATATTTTTATTTAGTATCCATTCATATCTTAAATGGAATTATTTTTTACTAAGAAATACTTATGAATAATAGATAAAATATAAGTTCGATGCTAAATATCAAAGATTAAAATACTATTTTGACTTCTAAATTACGTTTAAATATTTATAATTAAATAAAAATCTTTTTAAAAATCAACTAGGTGCTGTTGGTATTGTATAAGCACTATTTCATCATTATTAGTACAATATGCGTTATCGATTAAAATAATTTACTTTACGTATTTTATTTTAATAATTGGAAAATATAATTATAAAATATTTTTAAAAAAATAAGCCCTCCATCTCCTTATATAAGGACTAGCTCCGTCAAGATTCTCTCAGCTTTGCAGGCATCTCATATTCTCTTCTCAATCTCTCGTTTCTTTTTCACTCATTTCACTTTTACTCAACACAATCACAGATTGCTTCCTCCTCCTCCTTCTGCCCTTTCTCTCTCTACTCACTCTGAGTCTTTGGCGTCAACCAGAAGAGAGAGAAAATGGTAGCAGGAGCAGACGATAAACGAACCCTCATCTTCACCTATGGAACCTTGAAGCGCGGCTTCTCCAACCACGTCCTCCTCCAAGATCTCATTCGCTCCGGCGATGCCGCCTTTGTCGGCGTCTTCCGCACATCTCAAAAATACCCGCTCGTCTGTGGGCCCTACCGCGTCCCATTCCTTCTGAACTTCATCGGATCGGGTTACCACGTTCGAGGCGAGCTCTACTCCGTGACGGCCCGTGGACTCGCCAGAATGGACGAGCTCGAAGGCACCACGCGCGGCCACTACGAGCGCCTTCCGATATCGGTATTTTCGGATCCGGCCGAGAACGACGGCGATGGTGAGGTGGAGTTCGGATCGATCGTCAACGGCGGTATTCGTGGCAGAGACGGATCATCGGCGCTGACGTATGCGGCGGAGGCGTACTTTGCGCACAGAAGCTACGCGGTGGAGCTGTGGAAGAAGAATGAGAAGAGAGGGTTTGAATGTTACACCGAGAAAGAAGCGAGGGGGTATGTGAAGCGCAAAGATAGGCCTCAGAATCTGACGTTTCTGGATCACATTCGCTTGTTTGTTACTTCTGACTGAATCTGCATTTGCTTTTGTTTTCTTTTTTATTTTCTGGCTCAAGAAAATTTCTCTACATGTGCACAGAAAATTAGCTGCGATGGCTTTCTTGTAATTTCGCAGTGAATGTTTCTGGTGGGTCCCGGACTCACGAGGCGTTTGGGATTTACATTTACTTATCAGACGCCTTGCTTGTTGCCGCACCTGTCTGTGGGAATATATGGGAATTTTGTTGCCTTATCAGCGAAATTATTATTACTACTTCTACAACCAAAAAAAATCATTTTTATAATTGAGAGGTTGGAGTTTTTAATCATAATATAACAAATTTTTAAAAATTAAAAAATTCAGAAATTAGACTCTTATTAAAATTAATTTTATTTTTCACACGTATATATAATATAATTTGAGATCAATTTTTTAAAAAATATTGATAATTATATGTGTAAATATAGATATTTTTAAATTTATTTTTATCTGATTTGACTAGGACCCACTTATATTATAAAATTATAATTAATGATTAATAATATTATTAATTTATAATTATGTTATGTTTTTTTTATTAACAACTAGACTAGGTTACTAGACACACTATTGATATATTTCTTTTACATCCCCGCGCACACATATATATTTAATATTAATTTTTTATATATAATTAATGTTTTGTTAGACAATAAAAATGAAGAACTGCTATCAGTTATTTTTTTTGACTAAAATAATGCATTTTAATTACAATTAACTTACAGCCAAAGAGTTAAGTTTATTTTGAATACTTTCATCATCCACCTCCTCTTAGAGAAAAGGTGGGAGGTGATTAAAGATATAAAAGTTAATATATGAGCTATGAGATAATTTAATTAAATACTTCTTCTTTTTTTTATTTATAAAAAAATTATATCACACAATTTAAAAAAATTAATAATAATTAATTATATTAATTGTATTTAAAAATAAAAGAATTGAACTACAATATACTTTATTAATTATGTTAATCAAAGTTTCATTAATTATTTTTTATGATTATAAATGATAAAATTATGAGGAATAATTGAAGAAATTTATAATAAATATTTATTAAAAAAATGTGATTTTGTATATAAAAAAAACAAACTAAAAGTAATAGCTCTCTTATGAACAAAAAATGGAGGGAGTAATTAGCACATGCATTTGAATCTTTATTAACTCGATGAACAATCATCCTGTGACATCTTGCTAACATTTCTTATTTAACATCCGATTTGACTTTTAAACGCTAATAACAACAACTATAATGATGGATCCAAGAAGACCAAGACATCAGAAATTGGGTTTTTATGATTATGAATTTCGAACACACTTTTTGTGTGAAATCCAACATAATTATTTTATTTGCAAGAATTAAAGTCAAAGTCCTCAATATTTTTTTTTCACTTGACTAGCAAAGCTCTAAGTATTTAACGCAGTTTGGTCCATCTTCATGACTCAAACTCATGGTACTTTCTGATTAAAATGAGATAAAATTGAACCAAGTATTTGGGTGGTGTCAAATTCTTAATACTAATAAGGGCAACTGAATCCTTCTACTTAGATTACAAATTATAAAACTCTAATCAATCAAGAAAGGCTATGTTTGGTGCAAAGTTATGCGTATAATTACATCTTCTTGAGATGATAATACTAATTTTATATATTTTAATATTTCAAATGAAAGATAATTATATAAAAATTTAAAGTATATTATTTTCTTAAAAAAGATACAAAGTTAAATATAATTGGGAAAATGACAGAAAAATGCCCTCAAAATATGTAAATGATAGTGATATACCGTGAAATGTGATACCTTTTTTTCTTCTTTGTAGAAACTTATCTGGCAATTGGTTTTAATACAAATTTTTTTTTACTCTTATGGAAAAATAAAAGAAATGTGGTTATCAAAACTTATAATTGGCTATTCTGTCTGAATCATTTTCTCAAAAAAAAAAAGAAGTAATTGATTTTTAATTGTCAAACTTCACTAATAAAAAAATTGTACAAAAAACTTGTCATTTACTACTCCTTCCATTCAAAATTAGAAGGCATTTTTTTGAAAAATTAGATATTAAAAAATATAAGATATTTTTAATTTTTTAAGGTGTAATCATTTCTTTTTTTTTTCAAAAGTGTTCCTATTGATATGACTTTATATTTATTGTAGGGTGTTTAATAGGGATAAATATGAAAAGATAGGATTAATTGAAAAGTAGATAACTACTTTATTGAGAGATGAGATTCGATTAAAAATACTTTACATTTTTAAATAAAGAGAGTATTTTATTATAATCATTTTGTTAGAAAAATGTTATAATTGATTTTTAATTATTGAATTTTCACTAAAATAAGAACAAATATATCATTTTACAAAAAATGCCAAGCAAGTCTACAACAATTAAATTAAAAAATAATTATTATATATTGTGATACCTAATTACCATGTATACATTTTAGGCACTTCTATGTGATTTTTTCACTATAATTTGTGTGGAGATATCAGTATAAGTCACCTAGATGCCCAGGATTGCATTTGGATACGGAACTATAAAGCAGAATTGCAGAACCACGTGACCTCAAATTGTCGCATATCCCAATAATGATAAAAACACACCACAGTCTTTTCTCATCTCTCTCTTTCACCAAAAATAATAAGACAATTACGGAATTACAACAATATTTATCTAAAGCATAACAACAAATTTTCTCATCTCTCTCTTTTCACACCCCAATATTTATTTATATTTTTGAAAAAGAATAACAACAAATGAGCAAACAACTTTATCTAAAGCAGGCAATTCCACTTATCTCCTTCACACCATTTGTTTTCGTTTTTAATTCATTCATTGATGCCACGCAAGACAATTACGGAATTACCACAATCGTACAAAACCTTACGCATGACACAACACATTGGTACAAGCAAAAGTTTCTTTGGTTACAGCACCAAAATAGAATCCGTACCGATCACTGGATAGAGGCACAGGATTCTGACACGTGTTGCGTCTGATGGGTATCCGTACTTGTACCTTTCCGCTCGTACCTTTCCCCTTTGCCAAGAATGTTACTCCAAAACTGAATTCCAAAATCAGTGGGTCCCACCTTAGCAGAACCACTTTCATCAATCTCAATAAACTTAACTGCAATGTGGGCTTCCTCATCTTGCCTTGCGAGTTGTGACTGTAGTTATCCCAACCCATCCCTTCGAAGAATGTTGTTATCCCAACCCACCCCTCCAAAGAATCAATCATTTCTGGTAGGACAAGCGATCGTCTCTCCTAGAGCCTCTGGTCAGATATGCCCTGCCCAAAGTAGATAATATCTTTTTACGCTAGGATCTCGAATTTTTAATCAGCCACAGGAGGATGGAACATCAATATGATGACCGCTATCTCTCCCCTGAAGTGATCAAAGCAATATTACTTGTCCAACCTCCCAATCCTTAAAGAAATAATGACACTTTTATTTGAAAACCTGTCATTAATGGTAGTTTTTTTCATTAAATCTACATATAAAGTCATCAAAAAGAAGACTAATGATGTCAACCATGAAATTCGATTCATGATATGGAAATGGCTCAGACATACAAAAAAGAAATTAAATATTTTTTTTAAAAAGTTACTTAAAATCGTCTTTAAATAAATTTTGTCAATTTCAATGACTCTCATCTTTGCGAGAGAGTTTGCTCTTTTGGATGCAAATTTCCTTATTCTTCGACCCACATATTTTTGTGATTGTGTTAAACCAAGGGAGGTATGGATGGGTTTAGTCAAGCACTCTAAATTTAATGCCTTCTTTTTTCTCTTTCATTATAGGATTGGTTACTTTGAAACGCCAAGAATAATACAGGAGGTCCTTTCATAAGAAGAATCCTTTGGCAGAGGTTTTTTGCTTATATATGTTGGAATATATGAAAAGAAAGATGCAAATTTGTCTACTTTGAAGGAGACACCCTTGCCAAAGATATTGCTTTTACTTGCACTGAAGAGATAATCAATGATCTAAAGCTTTAATCAAAACTCAAACTCATATCAATGGATTATGATAGATCTCAAGCTAAGGGTAATATAACATCCTAGTTTTTAATTTCTTAATTTTTTGAGCTTAATTATTAAGTATGTTAACATGGTATGTGGTCGAGGAGAATAATAAGTGTTTTTAGTTAAAATTTTAGGTATAATTTAGGTCCAAAGTAAAATTATGTCACGTAGGAACCAAAAAAGTGGAGAAAAATAAGTTAAAAACCCTCTGTGCCACATGCCATGGCATGTACATGATGCGCCGTGCCACAAAACGAGAGCTACCTTTCTCTGCACCACATGTCGTGGCACATGGAGATAGGCGCCGCGACCCACTATGCAAATTTTGTAGATATTAGTCTCGATCTGATGCCAAAAAAAATAGAGGGGAAGAAAAAAGAAAATGAAGGAGACGCGCATTTACTCTACTAGGGCATGATCTAAGGGAGAATTTGAGAAGGTTTGAACCTCCAAATCATCTAAGGTAAGATTCTTAAATTTTTTTTTCTCCTTTCCTCTTCCTTTTCTCAAGAATTTGAGTTAGAGTTTCAATAAGGATGATAATTTCGGTCCATATGGGTTATGGGTCCGAACCTATTAATTCAAATGGAGTTAATGGGAGTTGTTTAGAGTATTTAAACCTAATATTAATAGTTTTAGTGGCTATTGGTTGATAAGCTCCATTAATGTTCGAAAATGAACATTAAATTTTTCATTATTGTGGTTGTTGAGGTATTAATGACAATGTGGATATTCAATGAAGCTATATAATGTTAAAGATAGTTAATAAATCCAATTAGTAGGCCTAAATGTAAGTAATGTGGGTATTGGGTAATCTAGAAAGGGAAAATTAGAGTTAAAATGTGTGAGATTAACAATGTTAATGAAGGTTAATTTGGTAAATTATAGATTGACCCATTTGGCTTGGAAGTTCAAGCTTGAAAGTTATAACATTGAGGGATAAATCTTTGACCTCTTAAAGGTTCGAAATAACCAAAGGAACTCTACTTTGGGCAGTTATGTATTAATTGTATTGTGAATGTTAATTATGTGTTTAAAATGTAAATTTTGACTTGTGAATGAGTGTATCATGCAATAAAGCCTTATGTTTATCAAATCACTTTTTTATGAGTTAAACATGCTAAAGAGATGTCAAAAATGAGTTTTAAGTTGCAAAAAGTGATATTTGATATGAGTTGCATGTTTATAATGTGTTTT